GGGAAATGAATAAAACTATAGTCATACAGTGGATCCCTTCACATATTGGTATCGAAGGCAATGAGAACGCAGATTATCTGGCAAAAAACGGAACAACTATGCCCCAAGAAATAACAACCGTCACACCTGATACTCTTAAAAAATATGTTATGAAAAAACTCAACGAAATAAATACTTATGATTTAACTATAAAGTCAAAAGGCAAAATATGGGAAAATATTCAAGACAGTTGGAAATTTCTCTGTTACCAACCACGTAAGGAAGCAGTAACCCATTTTCGGCTTAAAACAGGCCACGATTGCTTATCAGAACATTTATATAACATTAAAATTCTTCCCAGCAAAGCATGCCCAATTTGTGACACAGGTGTATTAAACTCTGATCACCTCTTATTGTGTAAGGGATTAGATAGGAACTCCCAGAAAAGTGGGAATGTCACTAAATTGTATTGGGAAGCAAGAACTCTCATGAATTGTCAATAACCTTTCCTTTTTCATGTTAATGTTTAAAATTTTATATTGTTGAAATGTTTATTGATTCAAATGTTTATTGTTCTTTTTTGTTCACTTTACCTAAATTGTTGAATTGTTTCTTTGTTATTTTTCTGCTCCTTTGTGATGCAAGAAGCTGTCAAATTTTCTGGAATGAATTCCTAATATGAAACACATAATAATATGTGTTCCAAAATTTTTACTTGGTTCGACTAAAGACAAACTTAATGAAAAAGGCAAGATTGTTCTAACCTGCAAAATGGGATTATGTTCAGATAGTGTTGTCTCTTGCTGACCAATGATAAATTATAAATGTTCTTTTTATACAGTCAATATTTTGCATAAATGGCGATAAATAATTGATACTCAATATATTTTACCTTACATGCTGAGAGAGCAGAAGAGCAAAGCATTAAAATATTTTACTTTATTTTTTTATAAAATATTACTCTTATTTTAAATTTTAAAATAAATTGAAAGTCCTTTTTGAATAGTCCCCTTGCCATCAGGCTAACAGTGGGAGGTTTTCATGATTTTCCTCTCCATGTAACACAAATACAGGTTAGATTCATCGTAAAAGTCCGCCATAAAGGCAAATTTCTTCCAATATTTGTTCCTTTGTCTTCTGAACTGGCTTTAAAATTACAAGGCTACCGAGTTGAACATTGCTAGTCGTAAACCCAAAATTGGGTCGGCTGTTCAACGACAGTTATAAAATATCAGTAACTGTGTCAAAGCACTAAAAAGAATTGTTTTTGTATTTAGAGTTCTCATACTTAAAATAAATTAATAAAAAATTATATAGTAGGTACGAGTTTTGTTCTTTTAATTCTATTATAGTTCATAAAGGTTTCTTTTATTAATTTTGTTCTCTCACATGAAAACTTGGAGAAAATTTGGCAACTATTTTAACGATGACATGAAAATCTTTTCCAGTGTACTCACGAGAAATAACAAAAAATCTAAGATGGGTTTCTCTGTGTTGGCTTCACAGTACTTAAAATCATATTTTTAATATAAAGAGAAAATAAGTAGAAACATACCAGGATACATATCATCTTCTATGTACATTTTATTTTCATTGTCCTTAACATTTAATTTACGATAGCATCTGTTTTCAATCCATATTAACTCAGGTTTCAATATATTCATCTTCCTGCTGATATCAAAAAACAAATAAATAAATCTTAATTAAATGTATTATAACTAAAAATTTTTGTTTTGCTCAATATAAAATCAACCAATAATTAATAGTATATATGAATAATATGAATAAATGAACCAAAAATTGTGCACTATTTAATTATTTTAAAAAAGACATTTTAAATTTTCATAACACAACTCAATTATAAATTTTACAATCTTTAAAAATATATCATGAATTATATGAGGGAAAAAAAAACTTTAATGTTAATATTTATTCTAGTAGTTAAATTTAAAGGTTCTGAAACATAACGCCTTAGGAGTTAGACGTCTAAAAACTATAGGTTTTTCAAAATAAATGTGGCATAAAAATTTTTAAAACCTTTCAGCCTTTTAAAACTAGAAATGAAACAATAATAGAAAACACAAACCTATCTACAGTAGAAGATAAATTTAATAAGAGAAATTGGAAATGGATGAGACAGGTATTGAGAATGCCAAGAGAAAAATTGGTGCAGTTTCTTGGGCTTAGGATGGAAAAAGAAAAAGAGGAAGACCAAGAAAGACTTGGCTCAAGCCAAAGACTGGAAGGGGGCAAAGAGAAATAAGAAGTACTTCCAATATCTATGGGTACATAAAAAGTAAATATTTTATGTAGATATTGAAAGTGGTAAAAAGAACAAAAAGTCTGCAAATGCCTAACAATTCAAATCATGAAAAAATAAATAAAAAAGTGAGTGACACTCTGCACAAAAAAAAGGACTACCTTGAATAATTTTTGATCTAAAGATGGAATATTTACCTTTTAGAACTCTCCTAAAGGTTCAAGGGGGTGACTTCAAGTATGCTAATCAATTACAGCAAATAATATTTCAAGTTACAAGGTCAGACACAAAAATGTACTTTTTCTGGAAAAGCATGCCGTTCGAGAAAAGTCTGGATCCTTTCATGCTAGTTTTATTTTTTGAGTATTTCCCCATGTCTCGAGAACTTAATTAAAAAAATTTTTTATCTAAAGATAATTCCATGCAAAATAACTTTTAATAAATATTTATTACCTTACTTAATAATGGTCGAAAAGATTAATTGTAAGGTGTACACACATTTTTACTTTGTGTTAAAAAATACAAAATACTAATAAAATTGGCAAAAATTTGTACACAAATTTTTACATTGTGTTAAAGAAGTATAAAATACTAATAACATTGGCCAAATAGTACATGAGAAATTGAATTTAAAAAAAAAAATTAACGTTATCAGGTATGTAAAACATTTTTTACATAATTTTTAAACACTATAATTTTTAGTTTTGACAATTTCGGTTGATTCAGGTTCAACAATTATCATAATTTAACAAGCAATTATCACATGAACTCATCCCAACTGAAAGTCTGTTACTATGGAACAATTTTTTAAATTATTTTAAAAAACCCATAATTTTACATGGAAAAATACAGAATTTGAGAGAAATCGGTCAATTGAGCCAATTGAGAAATTGAATTTTAAAAATACAACTATCATTAAATAAAATAATAAAAAATACTATATAATAATAAAGTTATTTTTTGTATAGAGTTATCTTTGGATAAACAAATTTTATAATCGAGTACAAAATTTTCTTAATTCACTTAAAAAGTTCTCAAGTTAAGGTAAAACATGCAAAAAGTAACATTGACATTAATGGTTCCTAATTTTGGGCCACATTCTTGACCAAAGTATGGGAACCATACTTCCCAGATTGGGGCTATCCTTTATATTTTAGAGATCTGAACCAATCGAAAAAAATTAAAAAATTTGTGTTAAGAGAAAGTAAGTTTTTGTGATTTTGTAACTTAAAACATTGCCTTATTAAGTTCAGAAAACTGGAAATTCCACAAAAAACTGGAAAAATATCATGCCTGTGTATGGTTGGGGAAAAATCTGATTATTAAATGATTCAGTATTAATTTAACAAATAATTGAAACTAAAATTTCTCCATCAATTGTTCTTAAAAGATCAAAATCAGGTGATTGCTTCAGAAATTAAAATATATAAGGAGACAATATACTTCATGACATATACAACAGCATATTGCTAATTAGATCATTTAAAAATAAATAAATAAAAAAACACTTTGCTATACAACAATTAGGTATTGCTGAAAACTAAATAGTATGTAGATTACTGTAAGTAAAAGAATTTTAAAAATGAGCAAATAATATTAGGCAGCTTTGGTATAGCTCCCTATGGCAGAATTTTTTCGGGCTTTCAGTGGCAAAACTCTATAGAACTAATATAACAAATAATAACAAACATACACATCACTAATTTAAAGTAACAGAAGGGTTGTGCTTACAAAAAAATCTATTTTTAGATAAAATAATATAGTATAATTTTTTAATTGAATACATAATATTTTTTTATTCCAAAGTTATGGGCAATATTATGAGGAAAAACAGACTGCTTATTTCCTTTTTCACATTTTGTAAAAATTCACATCAAAAAAATTTAAAAATTGTGAAATCTGAAACAGTAACTACCGAAAAAAATAATCAACAGTGAAATCAGGCGAATCAGATTCATTTCGAGATTTGGTTGAGGCATTTAATAATAATCACATTAAAAATATTGGTTTTTAAAAACTATATGGAAATCTATAGCAATAACTGTTGAAAAATTAATTATTTAAATACTCAATTCAAATTTCTAATATTGACAAGGATGTATCTTATTTTATTTTATAACCGGCGTTGAGCAGCCAACCCAATTTTTGGGTTTACGACTACTACTGTTCAACTACGTAGCCTTGTAATTTTGAACCCAATTTAGAAGACAAGGGAACTTTTAGATCAAATATTGGGAGAAATTTGGCCTTCGTGGTAATTTGAGTTTTGTGTGTAATAAAATTGCATAAAAAATATTGATATTTGATTTGTTAAATAATGTAAAAATTCGTAGCTATAACTGTCGAAAGAACAGTTGAAACACCGCATTTATAAATGAGGATATCGAAGCATACCGAGTATGTCTAAGAGTGATTTCTTAAATCTGCGATTCGAACTTAGCGTGCAGTAATAGTATTGGTATTTTTCTTTTTTAAAAAATCATGAGAATATCAATAACCAAGCAATAAAAGTTATCAAGATTTTTTTTTTTAAAAAAAAGCAATTAAAAATTCTTAGTAATAATTGCTGAAAAAAATGATCAAAACATTACAAATATTTACGATAGAAAAGGTGTGCAAGTTGTGAGCAATAAAGTAAAGATTTAAATGAGTGATTTAAATTTTTCATGTGTGTAATATATTAAAAATATTAGAATTATCTTATATCAACCAAATTTAGAAAATAAAGATTCTTCTACAAATTTGTTAGAGATTCTACAAATATGTATGTATTATTCAACAAATTCTGAATTTAAACAAAATTCCCACTCAAATTTTATTAAAATATGAAATATGGTGTTCTTAAAAAAAAAAGTGAAAGAAAGAACATAATTTCTAGATCAAAATGTCTTAAAAACTTGCACTATTTTTTTTGTTTGTTATCTAATTGAAATTCTACTTGAAACTAGTCATTATCGAATTTTTTTAACTCTCAAATAATAATTAAAAAATCATGAACATTTCTTTCCCTTTAAATGCGTGAGAAGTGCACCGTTTAAAACTAATTCTGCAAAAAAAAAAAAAAAAAAAAAACAAATTTGAAAATTTCGACAGAAAAAAAAAATATTTCTATACTTCATTGTTCTTATTTTTCATTATTCTAAAAAATGCGAATTGAAAAGTCAAGAGCATTTTTTTCTAATTTGATGCAAGAAAAAGTCATGTTGTGAATATTATTCCGGAGAGGAAAATTTTGTTTAGGAAATTTGGTTATATTCTGCAGAAAAGAAAACCAAAAACTTTTTACTTCCCCCAAAAAAAATCTTTCTAAAAGATCTCTGTAATGTTCTGTGTTAATGTCGCTGTGATTCTACTCTCTCTTACAACTCTTAGATTAAATAAAATAATAAATAGAGTACAACTCTTTAGATTAACAAGAAATAAATATGAAATTATCGTATTCCTACAAAGAAATAAAATCAAACAATAAATTATTTTCAATAAGTTGCAGTTACCATTTTGTTTTTAATAAAAAAAATCATGAAATGCTTCGATTTCAGTAATTTTTCTCAGGATGGATAGGTCATAAGGCATACCTGGACCACATCATAACCTCCACCCCCATCTCCTCTATGATTTTTAGCTGGCTTATGTTTAATTTAAAAAATAAAACAAGTTTAATATACAAAAAAAAAAAATCTTGTAAAAACCACTATGGTTATCAACTAGAATACACTTGACACTTACATGGTTACACTTGGCACTTTTTAATTTGATATATTGTACAAGTGAAATTCTCATAAATTCCTTTAACATTCTGCATGAATTTTATCATTTAGTTATTGGCTACCTCAAAGTTAAATGTAAAGGAAATTCTAAACCTAAGTTTCCAAACAAAATAAGCCCAGTTATTTATCTTATTTTATATTTATTCATTATTTTTTTGAGATAAGTAAGATTTTATTTTCATGAATTACGTGAATGAATCGTACACCATAACCAGAAGAATCCCAATGACCGATATAAATAGCGTAATTGAACTTTTTCGTTTCAATAAATGTTATAGAATTTGTCTTAATTTATTATAAGCTAGGGCTGAAAATTCAAATTGCCTATACCTAATACCAGGTTAAGAAAGTAATTTATTTATGTTGTATGTATCAAATTGTTCATACTAATTTTATATATCAGATAAAAATGAAGATCTATCAAAATTTTCATTTAGAAAGTTCCGTTTAGATACATCTGATTTAATCAATCAAATCATATTTTAACTAAAAAATAGATTTACTTTAGGGTCTTCGACCTACCAAAAAAAAGAAAAAAATGCTGCCAAAAACTAAAAATGAATCAGCATAAATCTATCATTAATATGTGTAACATCATTCCATGTTTCTAATTCAATATTATGTTGCTGATAATTAGGGTGACCAGATTTTTTCGGGCAATTCCGGGGACACTCATCTCTACCCCCCCCCCCTTTATCGACAGAAAAAATTGGAAAAAAATTTTGATCATTTATCTTAAAAAATANTACTGATAATGCTTTTCGCAAAAAAAAATTATGGCAGGTAAAAATAATGCTAGGAGTGAAGAATCTATCTTTATTCACCTTAGAATTAAATCTATTATTTTATTTAAAAAATCAACAATTTATAGTAAAGTGAACAATTAAATAAGAAGTTTTTTTAACCAGCAGTTTTTATCATGACAAACATCCACAGCAGGTTAAACGGGTTGATTGATGTCTGGCGGAACAGGCATTTTTGGAGCCCTATGTTTTTTCCGCTTATAGCTCGCTAATCAATTGGCGATCGAAATGGGCTGCAGGTGGCGTAGAGCAGAAACTCTACCTATGGCAACATTTCTCATGCTTTCCCCCAATAGTGTGTGCTGAGTCATAGAGGAAGGAAGTACGTTAGTTTCTCTCTTGATTTTCATATAGATTAAAATCTTTTAAGTTAGAAAACTATGTGTAACTGAAAACAACATTAAACATAGTTCTAAAGAAAAGCATCACGGGAATTTAAAAAAATATTTTTATTAAATAAAAAGGAAAAATACTAAGAAAAGGGGAAATGTCGTACATCCCTATACAACTGAAAAGAGGAGGAGAGGGAAGGGAGAAGGGTCAAAAGCATGCAACTGCTCTGTCCCCAGATGGCGTATTCGAGCGTTGCGATCGCCAATTGCGTGAGGATGAATATTGCAGTAGATCAGGGGTCCCTAACCTAATCCCAGCGGGCACCATGGCGCCCGTCGATTGGTCTGGGTTCCCCCGCTGCTTGTGCCTAACGATAAAATATTTCCATTTTCCCATAAAATGCTATGCAAATTTTTTTACTTTTTTAATATTGATGATATACACAACCAAAACAGAAATCGCCAGGAAACCGACCTGCGTCCTCACAGATATATTGATAGATTTATACATTTAATTGGAGAAATAAAAAATTATTTTCCAGCCAAAAATCAAGTATTTTTAGAATTTAGAGATCCTTTTTGGCTAGCAAATTTGTCTTTCGTAACAGACACAATGGAAAAACTAAATAATTTAATCTTGGAACTGCCAGGTTGTTGTTGTAGTTCATTTACGTCGCACTAGAGCAGCACAATGGGATATTGGCGACGGTTTAGGAAACATCCCTCAGGATGATCCGAAGACATGCCATCACAATTTAAATCCTCTACAGAGGGGATAGCACCCCTGCCTCGGTAGCCCGATAACGTGAAGTCGAGCGCTTTATGGTAGAAGAGTTCAACGAGGACCAATACCGCACACCCTCGGTCCCAACGCAGACTGATTCAAGTCGTCACCCACCCTCACACTGACCGCAGCCAGTAATGCTTGACTTCGGTTATGTGCTGAGAACCGTGTCTTAACGATCAGTCCACTGCACGACTAGAGCTGCAGGGAAAGACAAACATGTATCAAGAATGACGGGGGATATGAACTCGTTCAGAGCTAAGCTGGTTTTGTGGATATCACAATTGAAAATGAAGTCTCTTGTGCATTTTCCAAATATGAAAGAAAAGGCAGACGAAAGTTAAATTGGCTTATCAACATTTGTCATTAACCTCCAATAATTCCAAGACCAATTTCAAACGCGCTTTCAACAATTTAATATCATCGAGCCCATAGCTACCTTTTTTCGTAAATCCTCTTTACCAACCAAATAATTGTAACCGAAATAACAACATACGTTTCAGAATTTCTTCAAGTAAGGCGAGTAAAAGTGGAGTTAGAAATTTTGGATCTTCAGAATGACATTATCCTCCAAACTATTATATCTGAATTCGAAAAACGAGAAATTCTGGAATACAGAAATAAATTTCCATTCTTAAAAAGTTTTCATTGCTTTCGACGATGAATATCATAAAATCAAAATATAGATCACGACTTACAGATTGCTTGCGAGCAGGAGTTTTATCATATTCTCCCAATTCTGAAGCGATGGCCAGTGAAATGCATTGCTAAAAATCACATTGTCTGTATTTTATATATTTTATAAATAATTTTTATACTTCGTATGTTTTGCAAGTAATTTAGTAATCATTTATTTTACACAATAATGCTAATACTAATTAATTATTCATAAATTAAATTAATTTTTAAAATTAAATCTTTTGTGCATTACATGTAGTGTGTATTATTACCTATGACTACCAACTATAAATTTATCTTGAAAAAATAAATGGTGCTCGCTATTCGACCGATATTCTGGTATTTGCCCTTAGGTACAAAAAAATTAGGAACCTCTGCGGTAGATGGTTAGCCTTTGAATGAAGGATTGAAGTTCGTGATTCCCTGAAATGCCTATGAGAATTGAGAAAGAAAGTGCTCCAAAACCAAGTTGTGTTTGAAGAATAGAGAAGGTTTGAGGTATAATGCTCTGAGGTTCCAAAAATGAACATACAAGGATGTTATGGGTCGGTATCGACAGGAGCGCTGAATCTGCATTTGTCACGTCTAAACTCGCAGCCTTTCCCCGTCCGATAGTAAAACAAAATCTTAAACTTGCCATCAAACCAAATTTTGAACCAATTTTTTTTATAAGAAATGACGTTGTGCATCGATAGTCATAACAAAGTGACCACAGTGGCTTTCATTTATCGTTTAATATAGTTCTCCATCAGCAAGTGCTTACGACAGGGCCGTAACTACGCCGGGGCAGTCGGGGCACCGCCCCGGGGCCCCGACGGTCAAGGGGGCCCCATATGAAGGGACCATGCGAAATTTTTTAAAATGGTTTATATATATACATGAAAGAGATTGTGCGAAGATTTNTAATTTTACCATATTTTAACTTATTTTACTAAATTCATGATACGTTGAGACAACCAAAAATAAATTATAAAAATTTTATTTTCTAGTATTTCATATGTTTAAAAACTTGGTTACAATAAATTAGATGACAAGAATATGTAAAAAGCGCAAATACGTAAAAATTTCTTAATGTGCAGACAAAATGTTAAAACACAAACTTAGAATCTTAAAAGAATCAAACTTAGAATCTTTTCAAATCGAAATATTTTGTTTCTTCTTTCTTTTCCTCATTTTAATAATGTCTTAAAATTAATATATCCCTTTAACATTTGAAAGAAAATGTTAAAGGGATATACACATTATTTTGTAATTCCATTTATATGTGAACAAGTAACATATTTGCATAAATATATTAGACAACATGATACATAAATAGCTAAAATCACGATTAGAGATGAAGTACACAAAGTTTTAGAAAGGGCCCCGGCAACATTTTAGCCCCAGGGCCCCGAAGGGTGAAGTTACGGCACTGGCTTACGACCTATTTCTAGAGAGAGCATTGTCTCACAGAGGGGGCATTGTTTCGGAAAGGGAGTTGTAGTTGTAGTTAATTTTCGTCGCACTTTTCGGAAAGGGTAGGAATGGGATAAATTCTCCTTTTATTTTAACAATTACACAGTCCAAAATAAAATAACTATTTATCTTAATCTTTCATCTATCTTCAAGAGTCCCACAGTAGACTGATCGTAAAGGCACGGTTCCCAATAGAAAACCGAAGTCAAGCTACAGTCAGTAAGCGGATGGGTGACCACTTTGATCCGCCTGCGTAGGGACCTTAAAGGAGATTTTAGGGTAGAGGTAGACAGTTTACTGTTTGGGCTCTGAAAACTTGTTCAAAGATGGGGGTTACCTATTTGGCGAAAAATTCAAAGCTGGCTGTCGCATCGTAAAGGAATATTTTTTAAGAGTATGCCTGAAGATTTTTCTCTCTTAATTTTTTATTTTGAATGCATTGCCAATTTTAATCGTTATTGCAAAAGATAAGTTTTCAAATCAAAATACATTATAATATGCGCACTACATTTAATTATTTACTTTTAATTGCTTAGTTATAAAAAACTAATAACATTACTTAAATATGATTTTATCAAACAATGAAATAAAAATAATGATTTTTTGAATCTAAGATACAAACAGAATTGAACCAAGATATAAATTACGCGATTATAATTAATTTTAATCATAATTACATAATTTTTTTCTGAGATTACGTATAATAATTTAAAAAATTTAACAGGACAACTAAAATAGTAATATTTTTTTTTATTCAAATATATACACGGATATACAATTCCTCTTTTAAATAACTTTTTTATGATTTTAGTTTTATTCATGATTGATAATTTTTCTTATAAACAAAATGTTTTATTTTTAAAATAAATATGAAATATTTAATATTAATATTACTTAATGATCCACGATTTGGGCTTCTAGTTTGCCTGCCATGCGGTACTAATTAATTTTAACCAATGCATACAATTTGGATTTTAGTGAGTTAACATAAAATGATAAAAGTACTTAAACTAAAATAATAAATTTTGGCTTTGTTATTTGTCTCTTTATTTAAAAAAGAGTATTACAAATTCCTTATTAGTGCATACTATCTATTTGTTGTTTGAGACATTGATAGTTCACGACTTAATTAAAATTTTATGTTAAATTAAAATTTATATTATAAAAATTATTTGATGACCGGAAAGAGAATTGTTCCCTACTTATTTTCAGAAATCGAAATAAAATACATATAATAACAATAAATAGCTGCACCTTTGACAATCTATAATAATTAGTTAATAATAGGACCCATTATTAATAATAGAATCTATTATAATCTAGTTAATATTTCCCTGAATAATAAATGTACAATAATAAATATAAAATTTCCTAAATAAATATGAATATTCAAACAATTTAGGTAAGGGTAAAGGGTAATTCGTAAGGAAAGGGTAATTCGTGATTTTTTTAACTTTAACAAGTCAATTTTTGTCATTAAATACCATGGAAATATTTTTAATAGTTTTAATTAAGGAAATTTTCAATTACAAAATACTCTCAAATGTGCTTTTTAATTTTTTTATTTTGTCTTATGATCTACCATTGTGCAGGCATATGAATGGTGCAGAAGTCTTTCGAGAGAATTTCTTTTTTTCGCATGTCGCATTAATTCGTTAAAATTTTCATTGAAATTCGGGCATTTAAGAGCTTGCAGTGCTTCCTAGTGCAAAAACACTATCCATTTCATAATAAGATAATACAAGTAAAATATTTCCGATTTGGCAATTTATCGCTGTTTGTGACTGATGAGTCAGATGAGTCAACCCTTGATGAGTCAATCATTCCTTTCTGCGCATGCGCATTTTCTCTGATTATTCTGCGTGGAGACATTAGTTTTGCCATAATTTTTCAGATTTAATAACTGCAAACCGTGAATCCGTCCTTTAACCCAAGCTGAAAAATAAAAGTTACTACACAATGTCGACCTACGACAACACTAGGTAATAAATTTTAATTTATTTAAAAATGTTCTGAAATTTTAATTTTGTGAAATAATGAACACACATTCTGTATTTTAAATTTATTTTTCATATAAATTTTGATCTGTAAATGATAAATTAACCTAAGTGATCTCGTACATCCATGAAACATGGCTGACAGGCTATTCCTATTGTTAATAGCACGTGTAATTTTGTAGGAGAGGTTGTCCGATTTTCTTTATTCTCAATTTGTCTTTGCGTGAAATGTGTTAGAATTTTTGAGTTATAGAGTTTCTGGAAAAGTTCCCAAAACTTACCTTAGTTTCTCTTACTGTGTTGATCGTGGAAAGTATGAGTTCAGTAGGCTTAGGGATTGAATCCTGTTATTGTCAAATTCTCCTTAAATTGTTGTTTTGTTTTTAATATTGTTTAATTGTGACAATTTTTTCTTCTCTCTGGAAAAAAATTATTTGTACCTTTTCTGTTAATTTATTGTCTAAATTTGACACGTGCATAGTACGCATCGCGTATGTTTACTAAATCGGTCAGCAGAAATTTGATTATATTAAATTCGCGTAGTTATAGTTTTTAAATTTTGCTTAGTTCTCCCTTAATATTGTGCTACTTGTTAAGTTCTAAGTTTTACAGATGAAAATACAGTTTTTTAATCTGTTTACTCTCTTTATTTTTCATAAATTGAGCCTTTTACTGCACTCAGTTTTAAAATTCTATTAACCATAAAGTGGATATTATGAGGGAGATTTATTATACCCTGTTTTTTTTGTTCTTTAAGCATTGTTTTTAGTATTTTGGTGTTGCATTTCCTTGAAATATGCTCACAAATTGAGCATCCACACCGTTTCAATAATTTTAATTTTGGTACAGTCGCATTTTTATAAAGTAGTTCTTGTCATTTTACTGTGGAACGGAGAGTGGTTTCACTGTAATTGAATCACAGCACAGCTTACTATTATGTCAGGGCAAAGCTTTTGTTCCATTACAATTTATGATATGCCTTCATTTATGTATAACTAGCAAAAGTATCTAAAAATCACAAAGACTTATTGTAATGTAATATATAAACTCATGAGTTTATTGTAATACGTAATCATGATATAACCTTATTTAGATATTCTACACATATGAAGTGCACGGATACATTGGTGGTCATTCTCTAATTTTGCAGATACTTTTTATTAATATTTATTGTAATATTATGGAAATCCTCATGCAAAGAAAGTTTGCAGTGGGAAAATACAAAGTAGATAGTATTATCATGATTTATCAGGGGTCTGTCCAGGCTGAATTTACTACCGTTTAGCGGTACCTTCACAAATTCAACTTAAGGAAAAACGGTAGTTTCACAAATTCAATTAATACTTTTTCTTAAAATTTTATTTTTGTATGCTTTAAGAAACGATAAATCCATATCTTTACCATATTTTTGTGTTTATTTTTAAATATAATTTTTAATTTTTCACAAAATAGGTACCTCTAAGAAAAACCCAGACAGACCCCTGTTTATGTAAGATTTAGGAAATTCAGTGTTTAGTTGTATGCATGCTGCTCCCACACTGCTATGTGATTTTGAAAACCTAATATTATTACAACACGCAAGTTTCAAATCGCACATTTAATCAATCACTTATGACACTCTTCACTTTTGCTGATATTATCATAAATTTCATGAACATTATTACAATATTAAGACCCAAGATTTATATCATGCATTTAATTTTGCCTTACTTAATTTGTGCTGATTGCATTGTAAATTAAAGTAGTTTTTTAATCATTTTTTCTGCATCATTTGCACTACATACTCACAGTTTTAAAAATTCTTACTATGACATTCAAATTTTCAATTGCACATTTCGATAATTATTTATTGCCGCACTTTACTCGTGCTAACTTCATTGCAAATTGAGTAATTTTTAAAGAAATATTAATGCAATGATTTCATTCGTGATTATTACTATCCCTTCACTGTTAACAACGATGCTAATTCAACATGCAAATTTAAATTATTATTATTGGATACTATTTATTAGTGCATATTTCCTCGTAAATTAAAGTTGCTTTTTCTTCATTTCAGTAGTTTGCACCATGTACTTGTACGTGGTATTTTGAATCCTGATATTTTAATGTTATTACAAATTGAAAAATTCTAAAATTTGAGGACACAAGTTTTTTAAACTGCTTGCTCTTAAGTCATTTATATTGTTTTAAATTTGTTTTAGCTTATATGATTCGGTAATTTTTTTAGGAAAAAATTAAAAAGAAAGCGTTTGCGATCTAAAATTCTTAAAATTGGGAATAAAAATATCTGAAAAATAATACTAAATATTGAATTTTATTTTGTACTATAATGGATTTGTTTTAATTTTTGGTTTTTGTTTAAACATTATAAATTTTCTTTTATACAAATATTTAATTCGAAGTTATATTATTTAAGTATTTAAAAATATTTAATTTTATGTTTATATCTTTACTAATTAAAAAAAACTCATGTTTTTATAAAAATGATCATATTTCCCTTTAATATGACTAAATATGCGTGGGCCCTTCGTTAATCTACCTGCTAGGCTAGGGGTGCACTACCAATGACCTGCGAGCTACATGCGGCCCCCGGGAACTTCTGAAAGTGATAAATAGTTTCTTTAAATTGGTTTTTGTTTAAATGTTATAAATTTCGCTTATTAAAATAATTCATTCAAATTTATATTACTCTATAAAATGCGTTTTTTTTCCTTCTCACTTTCATTCTCTAAGCTTCTTTATGTTTAGAATTTATATCCTACTCCCCTGTATATATATATATTAAGTTTAAATTAAATAAATTCAAATAATTAAAAGTATTTAATTTTTTGCAAATATGTTAAGTTTATTGATAAAAATATTTAGTGCTTAGAACACTAATGTTTAGATAAAAATTTTCATATTCGCCTGACTGAATACGCGTGCGGCCCTTCCTTAATCTACGTGGTGTGCATGTGGCCCTTCGCTTAAAAAAGTTGTGCACCCCTATGCTTGGCAAGTGGCCCTTCATTCAGAAAGGTTGTGCACCCTTATTATTATCAAAAATATTGAGTTTGTAGATGCTTTTGGATTGTGTGGGTATATAGTTAGTTTTTATCTTACTATGGATATAACATTATCAATTTAGTAGGAAGATGAAATTTGGAATAGCATTTTTAAGAAATAATCTAGATAATAGAAAAAAGTTTTTTGCCGAAATTTCAAATCATTAGAGAGTCTGACACATTTGATTATACATGTAAAAGTACTAATAGTTTAATGTTTTTTGCCTGTGACTTTCTTGCCATATCTGTGTATGGACGTTAAGTATACGCATAGGCTACATAAAATAGTTAATTCTTTTTCTTTCTTAGAAAATAGAAATAACTTACAACTTAATTATTATTGATGCATGTTTTTGACACGACATAATTATTTATTCTTTAATATTGTGTACTAGCAATTCATACTTGGAGGAAAATTAATGAAGAATTTATCAAGTTATTTAAAATAACTGAAGTTTTGATGATGTTTTTACGTTATATAACTTTAGAATTATGTGAAGGAATGTGATAAGATATGCAATTGGGAAAAAAGGGAACATTTTGTGGTTGCATTACTTTAAGACATTTGAATATTTTGCAAAGGTGCCACTCTTCACTCCACCTGTAGCCGAATTTTATCGTTAATAACAAAGCATTCAAAAAACCTACTCTTCTAGATACAGTGTTGCCACAGGTGACTAAAATGCAACGATTTTTAGCATGAGGCCACAAAGGTATATTTTTAGGAAAAGGATATATGTAGACTTTCCATACCCCTAGCGATGTTTTTTAGCATAAATTGGGTTGAAAACGTGTGGCCCGTGAGATCTTGTGGAACACACTGAATTTCTTTCTTAAAAAATAAAAATGTTAAAAATTTTTAATTTTAAATTTGAGTAGTCACTTTTTAATGTGTTCAATTTGCACAGATTCCCTCGTAAGTATACTTCGTTTCTCGATCACCTTTTCAAGTGTCCATGCTGCAAAATTCTGATAATTTTAAAGAAACTATTACGATAATTGAATTTCGAATTTGAGTAATCACAATATATGTATACAGGGCTCAAAATTAACGGTGGTCCGTTGGTCCGTGACCACTAAAATCGGAGTCGGACCAGCATAAAATAATAAACAGTGGTCCGCCGGACCACCATCCGCCGCAGCCGATCNATATATATATATATATATATATATATATATATATATATATATATATATATATATATATATATATATATATATATATATATATATATATATATATATATATATATATATATATATATATATATATATATATATATATATATATATATATATATATATATATATATATATATATATATATATATATATATATATATATATATATATATATATATATATATATATATATATATATATATATATATATATATATATATATATATATATATATATATATATATATATATATATATATATATATATATATATATATATATATATATATATATATATATATATATATATATATATATATATATATATATATATATATATATATATATATATATATATATATATATATATATATATATATATATATATATATATATATATATATATATATATATATATATATATATATGAATATATATATAATGAAAAAGTATTTTTTGAACGAATTCTGGTAATTAAAAGTATTTAATTTTCTGTAAATATACAAATTTTTTTTATATAAAAATTTAGAGCTAGAACACTAACATTTATGTAAAAATTATATTTGCCCCCAACTTAACTAAATGGATCATGGTATATGGCAATTAAGTTATTAAATGAAATTTTAGTCTTATTTATGCTGAATTTTTGTTCTTATTTAGTGCATGCAAGTGTTCTAGCTCTATTTTAATGCTTTAGGTTAAACTATTTTGTTCATTTTTTTTTCTGTGGCTTTCCTGTAGATATAGAACTGACTTTTCTTTCCTGTCAAAAAGGAAATAAATTTTCTGTTTAGATTTAAAGTGTAACTTTTACCAAAAAGATATTTCTCGTTAAGCGTATTCACGTAAAAAAAATATTTTTAATATCCATGTACAATTTGATGGAGAATCAAAAATTAGTTCACGTTAATGAAGTTCTGCATTTAAAAAAATTGGGAGTTTGAAAGCCATATGGATTTAAAATAAATTGTTGCTGCCACTTGGATTCTGCTTTTGTCAAATAATAAGAATGTTAATGAGATCTTTTATTATAAATCTTGATTAGTATATTCTGCAATTCATTTCAGAAATGGTCCAGATTTTGAGAAAAATGGTGAGCAGCCACATGAATATGATGGCCCACCTGGAATGGAAACCAATGGTGTTATTGTTGTAAGTGGTATTTCCAATATATTACCTATTCAAATTGTAATGAAATGTGACCTAATGCCTACTTCTTGAGGCAGCTTTGTTTTTTAATCTTACAGTATTTTTTTATATTAGTAAATCAAGCTTCTTGATAAAAAATTTTTCTCTCATTATTATGGGATGAATTAAATTCATTATAATAATCCATAATAAACCAACTTATACGGTTTCGCCTTACAGTGTACACTATTTTACCCGTTCGTGCAGGCAAGCACATGGTTGGTTGCATATTTAATTTTGCAGTTCTTCACAACTTGCTTATTTAAATCCCGGACTCAAAGATTTACAAAATTTTAAATACCAATTATGAAACTCTTCACTTAAAGAAAAGAATCCAAGGCAAGTTATAATAGAGTTGGTTTTGGAAGCAAATCAATGGAAGCGCAAACAATTGGTAACTAATGAGAGCAGATAAGCGCTTCGGCGACAAGCGAAAGTAGAACCTTTGATATATATAGGATCACATGACCAGCAATATTGATAGATAAGCAATGCTTACTTATTTTGCCTCAAGGTTAGAGTTTCTAGAATTAGAGCACTTTTCAGCAATGGTGATGTTATTTGTGAGTACGATTTGGTGCATATGGATTGCAGTGTGATTTTGTTTTAAAATTTTTAACAATGCTTCCTCAGATATTTATAGAATTTTATTCTAAAAACTTTCCTTGCATAATTAAGTCCAACAAATTTTAGCATTATGCATATTCGAGGGCTAGATTTTAAAATAGCGCATGGCAGTAAAAGCGATGTAAATTATTATATACATACGAAGAGACAAAGATTTGGAGAAATGTGTGAATAAAAATTTAAGTGTTAACAAGTATTTTGCGCCTGAAAGTGATGAAGATGTATTACGGGCCAAAGTGTAATTTACGTCGTTCATTGTAGGTAGGACTGGGCGATATTAGAAATTATATATCGTGATATATCGTCAGTNGCTATATCGTTATATCGTCTTCTTCACTCGACGGCTTAAATCAGATTTCTGATGTATCGCTTGGAATGAAAGTTGCTGTAACGGTTTGCCGATACAGGCGTTAAATCGATATGTCGCGATATATCGATTTATAGCCCAGTCCTAATTGTAGGTCATAATCTATCGATTAGTATTGCAAGATCATGCAGGCTCATTATTTAATAAATGTTCTCTGAAAGCGATGTTGCTTAAAATATGGTGCAGGGCGAACGGATACTGCTGCTGTTGTGTCAAAAATCGCAGATGTTTCAAATGCTTCCTTATTGAATCTCTTCAGAAACAAGTGTATATTGTAATTACTGATGGCAGCCACAGTACAAATGTGCTACTATAGTTGTGTCTTTGCTTCAACAAAAAACCCAGCAAAGTCAAGGTAGCGCTACTTGCAGTGCCAAATGTAGATGCACAATCTACCTACTAGTGTCTGATTATTTTATAATTTCTTATTCTATAATAAAATAGTTGGTCAAGATTTAAAAAAGGGTTTTCTGCTACTGTTTTCACGATGAATTAGTCATAAATACATGAGGTTTTATCAACTATCGTTTGAGATAGATTTTTTTTAAATTTTTTTTTATGCGTAGACAACTTGCAAAGTGGGACAAGAAAGAAATATGTAATATTTTTCAATGTGTATATGCGTTGATTTAGGAAAAAAATTTCTTTTAATAATTTTTCTTTTAAATAAAATTTATAAATTTTATAATCATTAATGTAACTTGTTTGTATAAAAAAGAGTCTTTTCCACTGTGTAAGAAACTTACCATCCCTGTTCCTTGCTTTTTTTTAGAGTAACTGGGAAGAAGTTATTGATAATTTTGATAATATGCACCTTAATGAAGAACTGCTGAGAGGCATCTATGCTTATGGTTTTGAGAAACCTTCTGCAATTCAACAGAGAGCTATTATACCGTGTGTGAAAGGTTTGTGTACATTAAAATATAGATTTAATTTCATCCGAAAAAAAGAAAAGGACTATTTTCTCAATTGTGTTTCACATGTTTGCAGGTCTTGATGTTATTGCTCAGGCCCAATCTGGTACTGGTAAAACCGCCACTTTTTCTATAGCTATTTTGCAACAGATTGATACTTCTCTGAGAGAATGTCAATCTTTAATTCTTGCTCCAACAAGGGAATTAGCTCAGCAAGTAGGTGTATTTTTAGTGTTCTTTCTTACATTAATTTTATTTTATAATCGTTATGTGTCTTATGATCGTTAAACCTCCAGTGAAGCATAATCAAAAGAAAAACATTCTTATAAAATTAAAATACTACTAAGTACTCTAAAATGGTCTTTGTAACAAAATAATAAAGTTTCAGATAGTTCCCAATTTTTTTTCTCCCTTTTTGGTCATGTTTGATGGCTTTGCACCAATCTTGTTATTTTTCGCCTTTTGGTACATTTCTGTTTATATATTTATATTAAATTTTTTATGGTGTGTTAAATGTAAAACTATTACAATGTGATATAAAACAATACTTGTTGTAAGTGCTTGGAGTTATTTTTGAGAATTTTTATCAGTGTTCTACGCGCTACGGCATGCGCTTTTACTATATCAGAAGGTGATGGGAGTCTTATTTTTCCTACATTCTGATGTCATCAGCCGAGATAGGAAAACTAACTGCTTTTTAGTGGGCGTGGCTAATCGAGCAATTTTAAATATTAATTACAAAGTAACTAGTTAACCTACTGAACTGAAATTGGTGTCTATCGTCATAAAATGGTTTGAAGTTTTATGTTAAAAAATACAATTCAGGTTCCTCATTTGTTGTTAAAAAGATGGTTACTTTTCATTATTCAGAATTAGAAGTGGGTTGTATACTGGTGCGAATTCGCAACTTCTGTAATATAAATCACAGAACAAAAGACTTCCTTACCTTTTGTTTGGAGCAAAGATATTTACACCCGGGTCACTGCAAAGAAGGTTGGTTATCAATTGTTATGAAAATTTATAGGTTCTTAAAATATTTTTTCTTTTTTGTTGGCATTTATACATTTTAATATTTAATTTGTACATTTCTAAGGAGTATCACTGGAAATATTCTGTGCATTCTCTTCAAATACATGATGGCCAAAAAAAAGCATATTTAAGAAAAACAGGAATGAAAAATTAATTTGCCCTGCAGTGCACAGAATGCTGTCAGTAGATGCACTAGATATTTGTGCTAAACTAATGGAAGAACTGTATCAAAAGTATATATATCTACAGGGTATCAGGAAAATCATGGGTTTCGGTATTGAACAAAATTTGTCATGATTTTAACTATTTTTTTAAATAAAAAAAATCATGGCAAGTCAAGGATTTAGGTTACGGAAAAATCTAATTTTTTAAATGGAATTTACTCTTCAATTTCACAGTTCCGAATATCTGAATTTGTAACAAAATATCCTCAGTCATATTTTATCAAAATATAGAATGTTTTTATCATGCTCTTAAAAATTATGGCGGTCTTTCAAAAAATGAGAGAAAGAACATCATTTCTGGAGCGAATTATATTTTTAACTTCCCTGATATCAGAATTATCTATTTATTATTTATGTTTTTTGTTTTATCAATTTAAAATCCTAGTTTAGGCTTTTTATATTATTTACGAAGAAATAAAGCAGGTTTAAATAATTACATATATCTGACTGTGTTTAGTTGTTTGCTTTTGAATTTCTTTTACCTATTTTATTGCTTCAACTCTTCCTTTACTGCTTTTTAAGTTTAAAATCAATAAATATGAAATTGCAGAGTATAACAGTTTTGGTTATACCTATCATTTCAGTTATTGTTATTATAATACTTTTTGTGTTTATGTCGGAGAAAATATAACTTTTAAGTCGTGAAAAATTCTTGGAATTAGTCATGAAAAGTTATGGATTTTAAATTCTAAAATGTAGCAGATGTATCTAACTGTTGAATATTTGAATCTGAAATATGTTCCACTGATACAGTATGAACTTTGCTGAATTAGTCTTTGGTTGATTATTATTAATTGAACAAAGTCATTTTCCATTTCTATATTTTAAAAAAATTTGATTTCTATTGCAGGCTTAAAATCTTTTTTGTTATGACTAGGACCCTATAAATTATGCGAAGATGCGGAAACCCGCATAAATCACAATTATCCGCATAATTTACAATTTTCCGCGTAATCGCAGCATATCTGTATAATTTTTATTTTTCTGCAAAATGTATTCGTTTACCAGATAAATTTCTCCTTAAGGGGTTTTTTTCAATTGAAATATATCTTCCTTTTCAATTCCAAGAATCTTTTTGGTCAGGTGGTCAGATCTTTCCAAGAATCTGACAGAGGTGGACAAATTCACAGGAAACTTTAAGAAATTGTTCAAGCATTATCCTGCAAGAAAGTGCCGCTATTTAAAGTTTTTAACAGATGACAATAAGAAAGCTAAACTTTGTCCAGCACCAATAAAGCAATAAAGACACGGTGGAATTCCTGGTTTAAATCAGTGCAATATCATGCTGAATATTGTAATGTTTACATAGAATTTTTTAGCAGTGTAATAAACCTTACTCCTGACACTGCTTCTCTCTATCAGTGCAAAGTTTTGGTGGAAAGCAAGTACGTTTGCACAGACTTTCAGTTCATTGTAGAACACGCTCAGATATTAATGGATACTCTTCTCTTTTTCGAAACATGTGGTGTATCTATTCACAAAACTTACAATAAGATTTTTGATCTGCGGTCTAAACTTCGATGTAATTCTCAGGCATCATACTCACGAAAAGATTCACACAACGTATTTCTTCAAGAAGTGTTTCACAAAACAATTGCAAAGTTGAATACTTACTACTCTCCAGAACTAGACGTATTCAAAAAACGTGGGCCCAAGTTTAGTCAACCTGCATTAAACTTAATGAAAGCTGCTCGAGTTTTCGATCCAGAACAAATTGTCAACCTCGGTATTGAAGACGACGATGTATTCAAGAATATTCCAGGAATGAGTGGTCAAGATATAAAACTCAAGTATGCTGCTTACAAAGAATATGTAAAATAATGTTCAGACCAGGACTTAATTAGATTCTGGAATTCAGATGTAGTCTCCGAGAGATTTCCAGAACTTACAAAAAAAGCAAGACAAGTGGTCTCAGTGCTTCCTAATTCAGTAGATTGTGAAAGAGCTGTATCCTGCTACGGCCAAATTTTTACGAAACAAAGACAGAGTTTGAAGGAAGACGCAGCTTCTGGAAAGACACCACATCCTTTCCGCATAATTTTTAAAAATCGCCGCATCCCAGCCGCATAATTTTAAAAAAATTTCCGCGTAATTTATAGGGCCCTAGTTATGACTAATGTATGTATACATATTTCAGGCATATAACTTAAAGTGTATCATCTAAAAATGACTTTTACATTTCTCTATAGATTCAGAAAGTAGTGATTGCTTTAGGTGACTATATGGGTGCTCAGTGTCACGCTTGTATAGGTGGCACTAATGTTCGTGAGGACATTAGGAAACTTGAAATGGGAGTGCATGTGGTAGTTGGAACGCCCGGGCGGGTTTTTGACATGATCAACAGGAAAGCTTTAAGTAAGTAACAATTCCTCATTTTGCACACATTATACATTTGCAAGGTTGTCAAGTTTTAGCTAGGCTAAAAGCTACTGTAGTAATTTTTAAAATGTCATTAGGAAATGTTTTGCTGCAATAAAGTGTACTCAAAGTAATTCAGTTATGCTATCATATTAGAGTTAAATAAGCAAAAACAAATTTCATAAAAACTTCTATTTTCATTGGTATTTTGAAAACAGAAGATTTTTATTTGAATTATTCCTAGCTACATGTTGCCAATCCCTAGTTATAATATTACAGAAGATTGACAAAAAATGCTGATTTCCTCTGCATGGTAATAAATTTATTAAAAAAAAGCCAATTTCAATTATTTATTATTTCATAAATGCACTATAGTATAATCAAGGTGCTTAGTGTTAATGCATAGTGAAAAGCCCTTAAAGGTGCTTTTTTAATTTGGTATTTATGAAAAGTGCTAAATTTTCTATCTTTTAAAAAGATTTTATTTTTACTGTTTAGATTGTCGTTCTAAATTTTGAAATTGCATGATTTTCATAATTTTCTCTGCAATATTTATCAGAAACCAGGTGTTTTTATCATGATTATGTAAAGTTTTTAAAATTGTTTTTGTTAATAAACTTTAAACGATAGAAAGAAAAAATTTTTTTTAATACACGAATCCTATATTTATTAATCTTTTGGAAAGTAATTAAAGATATTTTTGAGTCCTTCAAAGTACTTGAAAGGTGCTTTTTTTGTTGAAAAATCTGGTTATGCACTGTATAATGAGCATAGAAAAATACTTGTCTTTATTTTTAAAAAAAAAATGATAGTTAAGATTTTTTACCAGCTATTTGATGCCACAATAATATTCATTTATTAATTCTTAAAAACCAGTCTGATCTAAACTTTATTTAGTTTAATTACAACATGAATTTTAATAAATAATGTGCAACATTGTGTATATATATGTATATATATTAACTTATTAATGTAAAACGGAATAGAATACATTATTAAAAAATTTAAATTTGTAAAGATACCTTAGCAGCACTGTTCGCATAAATAATATTTTTTTTAGAAGTTTCTTTCATAGCAATGTGTACCTTCTTTAGACTTAATTATTAACAATTTTACTAGTGTCTCATCAGACATGGATGAATGGAACTGGGTCCTATTTTTTTTTAACAAGCTCAGGAAATGGTAAAAATAATGAATTTGTGAAATTCTTTCAGGTAACCCACAGCATCTAATACATTAGCTAAAGCTGCAACTTGTTGATCCATAGGATCAGATGAAGTATTCAACTTGGAGGGCGTTAAAGGCAGTCTCTAGTTTATCTAAAGCTTCATCTTCATTTTTGTCTAGAAAAGGAAACTTTTCAATAAAGTATCCTATATTAATAGATAAGATTTTGAAATTTTTTTTTGCAAATTATGTTACTTCAGGGTGCGTAACGTTTTTAAAAAGTTCTTAAAGCAGGGTTGCCACAGGTGACTAAAATTCAACTATTTGCAACTATTTTTAGCATCAGGCGACTATGGCAACTTTTTTTTTTTGCCTGAAAAGGCTTAAAAAAGGCAACTATTTTCAGGAAAAGGAGACTATTGGTAGAATTTTCTGTATTCCTAGCTATGTGTTTTTTTTTTTTTTTAAACATAAATTGAGCGGGTGTGTTTAATGAGGAAACCCCACAAGATAGTTTCTGAACACACTAAACTTTTTTTTTTCCTTAAATGATAAACAAAAATTGAAAATTTTGAATTGCAACTTTGAGTCTTCACTTTTTAATTTGTTCAATATACACGGACTCCATTGTAAGTTATTTCATTTCTCGATCGCCTTTTCAATGATTATTGCTACAAAATTCCGCATGATTTAAAAAAAAAAAAGAAAGAAAGAAAGAAATTAAATATTACGATGCTTGAATTTCGAATTTGAGTAAGCACTTTTCATATATATACATAAAACATTTACGTTTATATAAATATTCTACGTTAATACGTTTATATAATATTCTTATTTAGGCAACTAATTTCCTAGTTTTTGGCTACTATTGTCATGTTTTAAGCTACTAAAATCAAGTATTTTGTTCATTTTTTCTGTGGCGACCCTGTTAAAGGTGGTTATTTGTGATTTTCGTTTTTTAAAAGCCATTAAAGGTGCTTTTTCATTGGGTGTTTTTAAAAAGAGCTTAATTTTTTCCTTCCATGTTGATTTTCGCTACAAATTATGCAGAAGGACACTGTTCACATTGTTCTAGTCAACGTTTTCACAATTAAATCAACCCCAATCTATTCCTGTGTATCGTCGGTCCGTAGCATATGAAAATGCCATTCAATTTACATGATTCAAAAATTTTGATAATTGCCAAAAGCCTTTTTTTTTTTTGACTTGCCGGTTAAGACCAGATAAAACCGTCAATTGTCAAAAACTTTGAAATCCTACCTAATTGTGTTTTTTTTACAGTGCTTTAAATATTTTTTTAGTGCTTGAAAAGAGCTTAAAAGGTGCTTGTTTTTTGTTGAATAATTTGGCTATGCACCCTGTACTTCAGCATTCTTATGTCATCATTTAGCGTAAATTTCTTAATGTAATCACAAGGAGCTACTAAAAACTTCCTAGACTCTGTGTAAAATTTTGTTTCTTCAGTTGTCGATGATTCCAATATATTTAATGTGTGGGAGAGATTCATTGCAGAAATAGACATTCGTGCAGCTAAATTAAGATGACAAGGGCATCCGATAATACTCGCTTCATTTTGCACGTTTTTCAAAATCTTTTGTTCAGCATTTTTGACACCGCTATGTATAAATTTGCTGCTTTATAGCTAAAATCCTCTACTCTATTCAGCACAAACTAGTTGTGAAAGTTTATAGCTAGCATTACTTTCTGCAAATATCTCGTCAGTGATTCTTCTCATAATATTGATATTGGTCATAATTTTGACATTAGTTTGCTAAAAATACTTCCAATAATGGAATGGTTTTGTTCACTTTTGCTACCAGGTCTTGCTGAACAGGGTATAAAAATTTTAAATCCCAGCAAAAGTTTGAGGAAAACATAAAAAAAAAGCTTACAATTTTACTCACAATATGTATGTTTAATTTTACTGGGGTATTGTGCCCAGAGCTATTTTTGATAATAATCTGTACAATTAATTTTGCAGGAACTGATCACATTAGGATATTTGTTTTGGATGAAGCTGATGAAATGCTTTCCAGAGGTTTTAAAGATCAAATTTATGATGTATTTAGGACACTTAATTCTAGTATACAGGTAAGCCTTCTAATGTTGTACAGTTTTGTATCTACACTGTATTAGATTCTAATAAATAAAAATTTTCTTCTAAAATCGTAATTCTTTTGATTCTGATTTTTTTAAAGAAATATTTAAAACGCGTGTATCAAAATTTAAAATATATGCATATTATGGAGTTTAACAAGTGCTTAATTTAGATTGTTCTATTTCAACCTGTGAGAAAGATTTAATTAAATCAAAATTGTGTGCAAATTTTTAACTTTTTTTATTTTTGAAATTGTTTTTTAAGTCGACTTCTATTCTTTAATAGAACCATTCATTACACTGCTTTAACACATCACTTAACTTTTTTTGATTTTGACCCAATATCATAAAACTATTAAAGATAAAGCTCCACAAGTTTTGCAAGTGCATAGTTGGGCTTTATTTTATTTGAACTTGTAATATGAAAGTTTTAATTCGAAATTGTCTGCAAGTCTTTTTTTTTAAAAAACTTTTTTAGTCAATTTCTATTCTTCACTAGAACAATTAATTACATTGATAACACTGCTTTGTTTTGCAAGGTATACCCTCACCTAGAAAGTCATGGATTTCAATATTGAAGAAAATTTGTCATGAACAGGGATGAAACACTTCCGCAAAGAAGCGGAAATCCGCTTTTTCTCCCAATTTTAAAAATTTCCGCAAAAATGTTCCAAAAATTTAATTTTTTTGGAATTTGTCAAATTATTACTAAATTCCCCCCTCGCTACTGCTGAAACATACTTCTTCCCCTCTGCAGCAGCCTACCAAGAATGATTTTCAGTAGAAACTGGGCGGAGCTTCAGCAGGTGCGACGTTGCCTTGACAACGGAGACTTCCGCTGTAAAAAGGAAAAGATGAGGTTGTATTCTTGGCAGTTTCGGTTTGTAACACATTTTAAAGTCACGCCTGCGCTCTTTATAGTTCTTTCAACTCCACTCGTTATTATTTTTGACCGTTCCTGCAATTATACATTCACGCGTTTGTTCATCATTTACTCTTGTTTGTTTTTCCGCGTGATGCTTTGTATGATGAATGTATTTTAATGATGGAAGTAAATTTGAAAGACGAGCATATAGTGTATGATCGATGCTGCTGAAAAAAATTAATTCAAATTTGAATGGCTAAATAATACTGTCACAGTGACTAAAACTGCTAGTAACAATCTAACAGAAGATATTGAGGTGAAAGTTGGCGATTGCTTTTAAAAAATCGAGTTAAGCGGTAAGAGGATTTGCGGCTATATCAGATCATATCAAGAGTAAGAAACGTGATGAAAGAAAAAACAAAGCGAGAAAATTACATTTTGCCCTTAAATTTTCCAGTCTACGTTTTTTGACTTCAGCTTTTTCAGCCTCTGTAAGTTTAGGCCTTGGCGTTATTTTTTTTTCTTCCCTTGCTTAAACTCTTAACTTTTGGGACTGTGTCAATCAGTTCGGACCCTCTTTATTTGTGATATTCACCTGAATTAGTATTGAACTGTAGGTTAGAATTTGATTCTTAATTAAAACAATAAAAACAAAAATTTTGTTCAAATGATAAAATTCTCTTTTATTTACAACTCAAGAAGTATTTTATGGGATCTCTCTGGTCATATCTCAAAAATAAACTCACAAATTTAATGCATTACAAAATTAAAAGTGAAAAAAAAAGAATTCTAAAAAACCATCAAACAGTTGAGCAACGCATGCAATGAAGACGCATGCACACTGTTTACTATTACTTTTGATTATTGTAGTTGAAAAGTGAGAACGCCGTCAAATCCAAGTAATTTTTTTAAAATTGTGTGTTCAAAAATGAAAAACATGTAAATGTGCATATTTATCTTAGATCTTGTATATAATCTATGTTTTGTAGGTGATATTACTATCTGCCACTATGCCTGCTGATGTACTTGAAGTTACTAAACAATTCATGCGAGAGCCAATTCGCATCTTAGTCAAGAAAGAAGAGCTTACTCTGGAAGGTATTAAGCAATTTTATATTGCTGTGGATAGAGAGGTAAATTAAAGTGTCCACTGTTGTTTTCATTACTCTATTAATCAGTGATCTTTGATTTCATTTATTTATTTTTATTTTTAAAGGAGTGGAAGTTAGATACATTGTGTGATTTATATGAAACTTTGACCATCACTCAAGCAGTCATATTTTGCAACACCAGAAGGAAAGTCGATTGGCTCACAGATAAGATGCGAAGCAAAGATTTTACTGTTTCTGCTTTGGTAAGTCAGTTCATTAACTTTTTGAAAACTTATTCTTAATTAACTGAAAATTTTACATTATTATACTAGTTGTGCAAGTTGTTTTCTTCATATTAATTTATCAAGGCTAATTAACTATCTATTTACTGTAAATATTTTGCTAATGTGTATGAAAAGTTAGCAGTTGGAGCACATACATTGCTATGCTGTGGTTTATGCATAAGAATAAACTGTTCCATTATTTTATTTCTCAAATATTAATGTCNTTGGAAAGTCATGCAAAATCATGGAAAGTCATGGATTTCATCATGCTCCAAATATCTGAATTTCTAACAAAATCACCTCTCAGTCATATTTTTATTAGAATATAAAATGATTTTATCATGTTGTTCATTCAAAAAATGAAGGAAAAAACCTCAATTTTAGAGCGAATTATCTTTTAAACTTTCTCTTCTGTGATTTAAGACTTTTTATAATTTTTTTTAATTTTATCAATTTAAAATTCTAGTTGAAGCAAACCAGTCATTGGCGAATTTTTTTTATTCCGAAATGAGAACAGAAAAATTAGGAGTATTTCTTTCCTTTCTGATGAACAAGAACAGTATCTTTAGAATATAATTCTGCAGGGGAAAAAAATATTTGCTAATTTATTTTATTTTTTCAGCTATTTTATTGCTTCAACTCTTTTTTTGCTCTGTTTTTTAAATTTTAAATCTATAAATATGAAGATGTAGAGTATAACAGTTTTAGTTATAGCTATAATTTAAATTGATGTTATTATAATGCTTTTTTAAATTTATTGTTGTTTTTGTCAGAGAAAACTGTAAGTCATGGAAAATTCTTGGAATTCACATGGAAAGTCTTAAGTTTGAAAATCTGAAATGTAGCAGTTATCCTGTACATTGAGTTGCTTTTAAAATTGCTTTTGAATAACTAATGTGTTTTTTTGTGTTTTAGCATGGAGATATGGACCAAAAAGAAAGAGATGTTATCATGCGAGAGTTCAGATCAGGATCTAGTCGTGTTCTGATTACTACTGATATTTTGGCTAGAGGTATTGATGTACAGCAAGTCTCTCTTGTCATTAATTATGATCTTCCAACAAATAGAGAAAACTACATTCACAGGTAAGCACTACTAAGTAAATTTTCACTTTAAACAAGCAGTAAAATTTTTATTAGGATGCCATAGAAAAAGTTTGTTTAGACAAACTTAAAGTAAGCCATGAAAGTTAGTTCAGACAATCTTAAAGTAAGCCATGAAAGTTAGTTCAGACAAACTTAAAGTAAGCCATGAAGTTTCAAATACTGAAAGGAAAGTTTTAAAATGAAAATAAATTATGAGGTGATAACTTAGGATTATTCAACTGAGTAGTTCTCTTCTAATAATCTGTTTGAATTTTAATATTTGGAAGTATTTTTTTTTCTGCAATTGAAATTTATGACAAATTATAGGTTGCCTGAACTTTTTCTTTCTTTTAGATTTTAAATTTGTAATGAAGGAGAAAGAATTCTTGACACGAATATTATTTAACGAATTTAATCCGTTAAAATGTTAGGAACTGAAACTATTATTGATAAACTAGCAAATACATAGAGAAATATTTTTTCAAAGTTGAAATATGCAGGGTTTTGATCACAAAAAAAAGAAACTATTATTTTTATTTATTATTATTTTTTTTAAAATATAAAACTTGACTTCTGTTACAGATTACATACTTTGTGAAAATGTTATCTTTTTCTACTAATAAGCATAATTCAATTCTGAATTATCAATAATAAAAAAAACCTTAGTTATATAAAATTTTCTTTTATTTGTTACTGCTGTATTTGTGACCTTACTATGTCCGATATAACATATTTAAGGAAAATCAATTATTTACAATTACAGTAAAAAGTCCCATCATAGAAATGCCAGAAGGATTTTTCCAGATAATAGGTCTTTAGGATGAACATCAAAAAATTCTTATTCAATAAAATTTGCTTTTTATTTGTTGTTACAATTTGCTTTTAATGTACTTTAATAGTAGAGTCAGTCACACTATTTAGTTAGCGGTTTGTGCATTTACAAGTAGTACAATATATTTATATTCTAAAAAATAATCCGATTTGTTTTTGAAAAGTGTTGACCTGATTTCACGTTTATCCTACTGGTATTTTAATGTTATGGATGCTGTAGACATGTGTTTTTTCCAAAGTTTATTAATGAATTTTATTTTGCTGTTTAATTATTTTGCTTAAATTTTAAAAATGCTCTGAAATTCTCTTACTCAGGGTTGTCGCTCAATAGAGAGAATAGGAAAAGATCTGGAAAATACAGGGAATTTAAAAAATCATCCGAAATAACAGGGAATTTTGAATTTTTTCCTTACAAACTGGGGAAAAAAATTTTATTTCTTATTCTGATTTAATGCAGACTTTTCCACAGTGCAATCTATATATTTTAATATGATAGTTCAGCTATATTATATTATTTAATTTATTAATTATTTGTTTTATGTCGAGCTGTTTATTATTTTTTCAAGTTTTTTCTGCAACTAAGATTAGCATCGTTATTCTAATATAGTTTGTAAGAGTACAGTTAATACCTGTTTCCTCTTAATATATTGTGTACAACCCTATGGCAGAATTTTTTTGGGCTTTTTGCGACCAATTTTCCCTAGCATTAATATTTTTCTTTAAGATATTTTCAATTGTATCAATTACTAATTTAAGGTAGCATAAATGTTGTGATTACAGAAATATAGTATAGATTATAAATTTTTAATTGTAAGAGTAATATTTTTAACTTGTAATATTATGCGCTTTCTCTCATTTTGTAGGCGGAGAAATGCACTAATTATTTCCTCTTTCGAATTTTGTGAATCATTACAAAAATTGAAATTGGTAAATAAATTAAACAATAATAAATTGAAATTCCTACATAAGTTAAAAAATCATTAACTCTGTACAGTAACTCCAAAATAAAAATCGTCGCTGAAATCACACGAATAGGATTCTTTAAAAAAGAGACACAGAAATACACAATCTTTCAACTTTCACTATTTCTGAATTTTTTATTTTATATTAATTTAAAATTCCAGCTGAATCCAGTCATTACGAACTTTTCTTTTTAAAATGCCAAATGAGAATAGAAAAATCTCTAGTTTTTCTTTCCTCTTTGATGCGCAAGAAAGACATCTTTGAAGAAAAAAAATTTATGCAAAAAAGAAATTCAAAATTTTACCCTTTCCAAATGAAAAATCTTTCTGCTAAAACTTAGTAATGTACTGAGGCAACGTCGCCTTGTCACCTCAATTCTGCCACGGGCTTCTAGAATATTTGCAAGAAAAGATTTTTTTTCCAGATATGATTAGCAACCCTGAGAGTTTGTCCTGAAATTTAAAAATTGTTTTGTTTGCCCCCTGATTGTAATTTCTTTGTTTCAGGATCGGAAGAGGTGGTCGATTTGGTCGTAAAGGTGTGGCTATTAACTTCATAACAGAAGATGATAAAAGATCACTCCGTGATATTGAACAATTTTATAACACTCAAATAGAAGAAATGCCTTTAAATGTAGCTGATCTAATTTGAAGAGGATATTTCATTGTATGTGGGTGCATTATTCTGTGCTCAGACTTTGATTTAAGAAACAGCATTTTTCAGTAAACTGAAATTTATTCAAAACAGACTCTTATACAGGTTGGCAACTAATGAGTTCTCCTATCTCATTAATAAGCTGTCCAAGTTTTTATTTACTCTTTGTGAATTAATTAAAAAAAAAAGGAATCATTATAAAAAATTAAAATTTTTTTCTTCTTTCAGTATTGTATCATAATGTTCGACTTGAAAAAAAATTCGCGCAGAACTATTTTTATTATTTGTATGATGTGCTTTTTTTGGGGTATTATTACTTAATTATTTAAACAGTTCTTTTTTTTTTTAAAAAACTATTAGTGTATGTTTTACTTTACAATTCGGTGTCAGTTCTCTTTCTCTGAACTGGTAAATAATTGTTCAGAGCAGAATGAGTATTGCTTTTTTTTTCCTTCCATTGTGTAAAGTTGGAATCTTGTAACAAAGATAATTGATTAAATATTTTTTATTTATATTGACTTAGTTGTTTATTTTGTGTAATAGTTTTGATTTTTCTAAAAGTAAAAGGTATTAAAATAGTTACAATCTTGGTTGTGTAGAATCTTCAGCAGTTTAGGTACAGATGTAGTTTAGGTACATAGCTAACTCTACGGAATTTTGCCAGTTTCTTCAAGTCTACTGGTTTAATTAAAATTCTCCAATTTTTTGTAAATTTTGCAGGAGCCTGTTTAGAAGAAATTTGGGTCCGTTAACGGACCCTTCACAAAATATTTTAACTTAAAAGCTATTCACAAAATAATTTATCTTTTAATTGGACCCTTCGCAAATTTGTTTATCTTCATTATTTAATATCATTCATCTATCTAAGTTTTGTCTTCGGCAGATGCTTTTTCCTTTATTCGTCCAAAATGAATATTCTGCATTCAGCAGTATGGGCTAAATACCAAATATTTGTATCTTGCATCTCTAATTTAGTAGCAGCACTTGCTGTTGAGCATAATCTTGTATGTCTATACAATTTAAAAACTCATTGAAAAAGTTTTTTTGCAATAACAGGACCCTATTTTCACAAAAGCAGGACCCTAGTTGAAAGAATATGACTTAACGTTTATTTTATATTCACAAATTACGAGTAATTTTTTCACAATTTGACAATAACGGACCTTTCACGAAATGTCTTTACAGATCCCTGATTTTAGAAAATTCCCTAAAATTTAGCAAGTTTCCTAAAAAAATCCCTATTGAAATAGAATTTTTGTACAGATAATTGCTTGAATATTTAAATAACTATTACTAATACATAATGACGTGAAACTCATTTATATAAACCAGTTCAATTTTTTTTTTTTGTTCTGAAATGTTTAGATAATTTTTATTCAGAACTCTATTTTTAATTTAATTAAAAAAATCATTTATCTTAGATGAATTAAATGCTTATTAATATTCAAAGTTATGAGTAAACTTACATTTCAAGTATACTTAATGTCAATCATAACTAGACAATATTGCAGTTTCTCTATTTTGATGACTATGAAAAACCTTTAAAATTCTCTGTATATTTAGTACATTATGCAACAAAATTCTCTGTATATTGAGTACATTATGAAACAAAGTAGTCTGGTATGTATACTGTTCCAAAATATCTGATTTTTTCTTTAGCCCACTTTGAGGCCTGTACACTAACATGAACAATTATAGTTGAATTTATTAGCTTAGATTTTTATACACTATGAGCAAGTATAAAACAAATGACAACACAAACTTCTATTATATTTCAAATAAATTTAAGAACTGATTTTAGAAATTAAAATTTATGAGAACTGTTGGTATTCAAAATGTTTTGCTTACATATTAAGGAAATGCAAAGTTTGAATCTGGAGAAATAGTGCTTATTTTTCCTGTGTATTGAATAACTTTCCATATGGTCACAGACAACAAAAAAAATTGCAGAATAGAATTATTTATGAGGACATTTGTTTTTATTGTCGGATGATTTTTTCTAATTTGTCTAGATTCTACTGATGCTGCGTATTGAGGAAAGAATGCAATCCTTATTTCACCTTTTTAAAGCCTCAGGCCAGCCAGGATACGAATAGGGGTTTTGTCATTCTTTATATTGCCGTGCAATAGAAGATGAACAAAAGATACAAAATGCCTATTTTTACCTGTTTAGGGTTTATCTGTGATACTATACCAAATTCAAAAGCAGAAAAAGTTGCAAAAAAAAATTTCAGATTTTTTTTTTTAAATTACTTTTTTGAAATTCTGTTTTACAGGGTGCATAGCATTTTAAAAAAGTGCTTATTTTTGAATTACGTTTTTAAAAAGCCCTTAAAGGTGATTTTTTATTTTATTCGGAGTTTGGAAAAAGTGCTTATAATTCTATATTTTAAAAAGAGATTTTTTTCTTTGCGGTGTCAATTGTCGTTCTAAATTACAAGAAAATACATGATTTTCACAATTTTCTCTGCAATCATGTTTAAGATTATGCTATTTTATCATGATAATGGAAAGTTTTTGAATTTCATTTATATAAATTAAGAACTTTAAAACAATAGAAAAAATATATTTGCGCAGATCCTAATTATGATTTTTTTTGTTTTGTTTGGAAAGTGATTAAAAATATTTTTTGAGAACTTAAAAGGTGCTTATTTTTTGTTGAAAAATCTGTCTACGCACCCTGTTTTTAGATTTGATTTATTGAACTTACATACATTTGCTGACTTGTGTGCTCAATATAGGCTTATAAGTCATTGTCAAGTAGAAAATACAGATAGAACAATTCAGAGAAAGACATCACAAAGAATACATCCAGGGTAACGGCGGGATTCGAACCCGCTACCTCCACGCTTAACAGAGCGTTTGGACCGGCGATACCGCTCGGCCAGGGAGGCCCCCTGTTTTTAGAGTTGATAGTATTAGAAGGAAAGGAAATAAGAAAGCACTTGCGTTGTCCACGGTTAAATGTTTAATTGAGCGGTATCGTTAGACGAAACAATGCATCGTGGTGCGTAGCGATTTTAAAAAGTACTTATATTCGATTTTCATTATTTAAAAGTCCTTAAAGGTGCTTTTTTCGTTGAATGTTTTTTTTAAAAAGTGCTCAATTTTTTCTCTTCGAAAATGCAATTTGCGTGCAAAAGCGTGCTTTTCCCATTGCTCTATTAAACGTTTGCATGTTTGATGAAATACTTGCGAATCAGTATCTGTGTCTACTGAGTTGGGTTCTGTGCAACTCTGCTGCATTTTGCACGATATTTTCCATTTCGGACTTCATTCCACCCTCTGATATCGAACCGAAAAATCTCATGATCATTTTATAATGGCCTATACAATCAAATTTTTTTTTGTGTCAGAAACAAGTTATTTTATCATGATCGTGTAAAGTCTCTGAAAATTATTTTGTTAATGTATATAATGCTTAAAAATATTTTTTGAGTGCTTGAAAAGTACTTTAAAGGTGCTTATTTTTTGTTGAAAGATTTGGCTACGCACCCTGTGCATACATTCAATATTGCGACACTTTTCCTCTCGTTATTCACTGTTGCAGAAATATCTGTTTGAGTGATTTTCTATGAATTAAAAAAAAAGAAAGAAACTAATGGTAAGCAAAAACAATTACGAAACATCCCCATACTTCCATTTCCACTGAAATCCACTCCCCACTATGGATTGGTGCACTAATTACCAGTTGAGTTCCAATTTTTTGTCCCAATCACTAGTCCATTTATCTAGTGATTGGCACTAAAAGATCTAATTTTGCTTAAATTGATGATTCACTCATGGGTGAGGGTGCCACTCTTCAGTCCTAGAAACTGAAATCATTCTTTAGAAAAATCATTGGACTAAATTTTATTAATCTTTTTTCCTTTTGTTTATTAAATTAAAATATCCTTTTTTTTCCCTTAAAAAGTATTAGTTTTATACAAATATTACATTTTAAAGAAAACATTATTTTTCATAATGATTGCAAAGTGATCTAGTATTGTTTCTAATTTTTTTTTTTTTTTTAGTTTCCATTTTTCTCTTAACGTTTTGAAATTCTGAACAAAGTTAAGATTATTAAAAAAATATATAGAGAGAGATAGGACAAGAAATAAATGATGTTGAATCCAAAAATAAATAAATAAATAGCTTCACAAAAAATTTGTGGTTTATTATCTAATGATTGGTGCAAAAAGATCTACAAGATTAACTATTATTTTTATCTTGTTTGGTGTGAAAAAAAATAAATCATTGATTTAATATGTGTGCCGTTATTATGTAAAGAAAAATTTTGGAGTCAGTGAGCTGTAAATTTCTGAAAATTCTGGTAAACAACACTAGATCGGATTTTGGTCAAAAAATTTACTTTTCTTGAAATTTTTTTAGAGGGCCACCCATGGATCCGCTAGACGCTTCTGCATTGCGTTCAGTTTTCGCGAACCTTTTCAACGATTTTATTACTTGAAAAGGTATTAGTAGACTTTTTAATCCTTGTCCCAGGGCTGATTGTGCTCCGGAAAAAATCCGGATTTCCGGATTTTTCGCTGCCAGTGATCCGGAAGTTTCCGGAGATAGAAGGTCCAAACGTTTCAAAAAATCAGTGATCACAGAAGTTTCCGGAAATAAAATTTTCAAAGGTGGAGCTTAAAAGCACAGTTTATTTTATTTGTTTGTAAGGAAGAGCCAAATACTTTATAAGCTTATATTCCTGATTAATATTAATTTTTTTTATCAGTAAATAGTTATTATGATCATAAACTCAAGAAAGACACATTCTAAATTTTAATTACTTCTCCAGGTCATCATAGGTATGTGTAAATGGTATAGGTATATGTAAAATTTTAAATATATTTTAAATAAACTAAGAAATATTTAGAAAAATAAAAATAAAACCTTGTTTAAATTTTTTTCTATTTCTGGTTTTTTTTCCTTCTTGAACTCAGAAATTTTCCGGAATTTTGACTTGGGCTCACAATCACCCCTATGTCCCAAAGATTAAATTACCTCTCCCCCCCTACAGGTCATTAAATTCACAGAACAGAGTAAAAGAGATAAGGATTTAGAGGTGGAAGAAGCGCCTGGTACAATAACACATAGTTCGGATTTTTTTTCTTCCTTTAGTTTACTCTCTTCTTTCAATTCCTTGTGATGTTCATTCTTTTCCAAGGGAGAACTGAAAATTGATATGAGAGGTCCATGGAACCCTTGAACTAGATGAAGGGGTCAAACAAAACGTGAAAAGAAAGGTCTATATTTTATAATTCATGCTTATTTCTCTCAGGAAAGGAACTATGGGGCTATGTTCACAGTGTTAATGGGTCATGCTTAATATATGCATTGAATTTTAAAGAGATGTCAAATAAAAAGTGAAAGAGCTTTTACTTTTCATTTTGAGGAATAGGCTGAAAGCTATTTGTGTTAGGTAAGCAAAATATGTGTCAACCTTTATTTGTATTGTCTATAATTTTTAATTTTTTTTAATTTAAATTTTCTGAAAATTATGTTGGTATTCTTGTTTTAAAAATTCGCAAATTATTTTTTGTGGCAATTTAATGTTAAACAAAAATGCGTACTATAATAGCCTTACTAATCAGCAACTTTTTTAGACCATCTCTAAGTATTTATTTTTTCACCATAATTTTGAGTAGCTCAGTATGGCCCCCCCCCCCTTTTTTTTTAAAGTTTTCATTGACTGATCATAAATTTTTTTTCAATTAAACTGCTTATTTTCGTTTTATAAAAGTCCTTAAAAGTCCTTTTTTACTATACGTGTTTTTAAAACGTCCTTAATATTTCCTGAAGTTTTCCACGAAAGCTAGTCTGATCCAGAAGCTTTCTTGTGTTGGGCTCAAAATGATTAGGCTACAGAGTTACAGTTTATAGTAGTCAAAAACCACTACCTATTTTTTAAAACCTATTTTACAGCAAAGAATAACATTGAAAAAATAAAATGAACCTAGAATACATTAGGTGTTGCTCAGGAGCTAATTTTGTCAGAAAACGGTGGGGTTTCTGACAGTATAGTTTGTCTATGTAAGAATTCCCCTATCCATTCGTCTGGAGTAGTGGCGGTGACTATGATTACGAAGTTTAACTATTTCAAACATAGGTGTCGTGTCATAATTTAAGACAAGTTTTTTCTTCGGTCGGAGAGGAGGGAATCAGGGGAGAAAGAAGTTCCCTTCCTTGAAATGCGCTAATTCTTGTTTCCATAGCAACAGACGGCTTCAGACTTTGTGACGAGAGGAGTTCTTTCCATTGACCAACTATATATAAATTATTGTTACCCTTTTTATCGTAAACAACTGATTTTCCTTTTTATACAGCCTCCCACCTCTTAAGAATATTAAAATTACCATCCGAATCAAATGATTCAGATCCCTGATTCGAATCAGTTGATTTGTACTGATTCGCATGAAGTGATTCAGATCACTATTCAAATCAAGTGATTCAGATCAGTGATTCGAATTAAGCAATTTGGATCATTGTTTCTCATGATGGGATTTGAATCGTGAGATTTGGAGCACTGTATCAAATCATGCGATTCGCATCAATGAATGGAATCAAGCAATTCAGATCACTGATTTGAATCAATTAATTCAAATCAATTTAATTTGAATCAATTAACTCAAATCCCTAATTCAAATCATTTGTTTCGGATCATAGATTCGAATTATGTGTTCAGATATCATTTTTAATATAACAATTTGGATCACTGATTCGAATAACATGACTTAACGACTTAATTGCCAATCACGTGATTCGAATCATATGCTTCAAAAAAAAAATTCTAAATTTGCAAAAAATTCGAAAAAGTTTAGCGATATATCACTATTTTTCTTTTAACTAATGTCGGTAGAAAAAAATTTATTATTCTTCATCATCAATGAATTCTTTCAAGTAAATAAATATACTTATTATATCTTTTGTATAATTATATTGTAAACGTTGTTGAGTGCTGTAAATATTTTTAACTAGGGTAAATTTTATGAAACTATAAAATAAATATTTTACTTTTTTATTTATTTAACTGACTTTATCGGATTCTTTATTTGGAAAATCTTAAATCCTTCCTTAGTAATGAATGCGTAAGAATCTCTTAAGTTTTACAAGAAATTTTTAACTGTATATGACGTAGCATCACTGTGGAACAAACTAACTGAAATTTAAGAAACAATTATTCATTATAATTTAAATCTATTTCGATAAAATCCTGATTCGAATCGAAATCGATTCGAATAATTGATTTGGATCACTGATTCAAATCAGCTGCTTCGGATCAGTTGCAAGTTGGTGATTCGAATAATCGAATCAGTACCTTCTCTACTGACCACTGCAGTGTCCGGTCGGACCATTTTATTTTATTTATCAGGCTATTTTTAATATCAAATAATAATTTACAGACATTCTCCTCTTAATTATTTTTTTGCCGGATAAAACTTCAACATCATTGTATTTAGGCTTTATAAAATCACATTATATCAATAAATTATTTTGCATAAAAAAATTTTTTGACCTAAATCAATAAGAAAAAAAAAATTTGTGAATGAAACTAAGGTTGTTACGCTACCTGGAATAGTTAAGGGATTTGGAAATAGTTCGAAAAATCAGAAAAAGTCGGCACATTTAACAGTTTTCAGCAAAAGACGTCGGATAACAGCAGATCAACTCTTTTCTTAGCTGTTTACCTTCGGGTACAGAGAATTTTATATCTTCAGTTTATCTACAACATCTGGTGCATCTAGCATCATCAACTATTCATGACTGAGGTGGCCGGGTACTCATACTCGCTACTTTCTGCAGAACTTAACAATTTTGTGTTAAAATCTGATAAAAGGTCAGGGAGTTTGATTTGGCGAATGCCAAGCATGCGATCTTCGCGGCAACATTCTTTATGGAACACTTTTCCCATGGAACGTTTTCACCCATTTGGCAGGTAACCAATTTTCACGTAGCTGTAGAATGACATGGATATTACGACTTAGAAAACTTTCAACAAGAAGAAATAGAAGGATAGATAGATGGACTTCATATTGTTTATTCTTATTATTGATTAAGAAATTTGGAGAGGATGCCGATTTTATAATCTCTTATAAATAAATATTTTTTTTTTTTTGTTCTATCACCTAGGCTTGATAAATGAATTTAATTGAACTTGTCTCGAATTTACTGTTTAATTACATTTCGTTAAACTTCGCCAGTTGTTATGAATTCGCGAGAAGCATTGGTATTGTTGTTCTGCATGTAAATTGTAAAGCGATACTATAATATATTGAGGTCAATCCAAGTTTTATTTTTTAGGGCCCATTTCTTGGAATGTGGAAATTATTATTTTGAAAATTTCTTCATTGATGAAGAACATTCAGCTTTAACATTCTCTATTTTTCTATTCAATTCTTTTCTTTTTTTAAAAAAAATAAATTGTAAATTCCCTTGTTTTTCCGATCGTTTTTCGAACTTCCTTTATTGTATTTCCAATTAATTCCTATACATTTAATAAGTAGTTACGATATGCGAATTTCGTATTTGAGCCATCAATATTTACGAAATGTTCGATCCATGACTATTCTATCATAATTTTACGTCGCTTGATGAGATTTCATCCGCAGTTATTTATCATTCCGTCAATTTTGTATTTGAGCCATCAATTTTTACGAAATGTTCGATCTATGGCGATTCTATCATAATTTTACGTCGCTTGATAAGATTTCATCCGCAGTTATTTATCATTCCGTCAATTTCGTATTTGAGCCATCAATTTTTACGAAATGTTCGATCCATGGTGATTCTATTATTAATTCACGTCGCTTGATGAGATTTCATCCGCAGTTATTTATCATTCAGTCAATTTCGCATTAGAGCCATCAATTTTTACGAAATGTTCGATCTATGGCGATTCTATCATAATTTTACGTCGCTTGGTAAGATTTCAAACGCAGTTATTTATAATTTTTTCGGCTCCTTTCACATGGTTTTTGAAATCCATGTTTCTAATAGCCTTTTTTTCGCCTCTTCTGCGTAATTTTTTTTTTTAATAATATTACCGTCAATTTTTGGCCCTTCTGATTCGCGACGATTCCATCGTAAATGTCGAATCATTTTTCGGCAGATCGCCAGTGATTCTTCAAATTCTAATGTTTTAAACGCGATGTTATTACGACTTTCGAGTTCGATCACTTTCTGACGCTTTCGATTTGAAATGATTGAATCGCTATTTTATTTTCCGAACAACCCACTAATGTGATTAAATAATGTGTCTTATTAAGTAACAGGCAATGATAGGAAGAAAAAGCAATTTATTATTCAGTTAAATTTGAATTCCCGTTGTCTTCATTCGAGACAGACCTTTCCTTTGGCATTACTCATGATGAAATCTATGTAATGAGAAACTCTTGAGAAACCTGCAGGACCCAGAAGACGAGCACAGCCGAATATCTGATTGACAAATGACGCTACACCCACCTGCACATAATCATTTCTGCCCTTTTTCATCACCAGGGGTCCTCCGGAATCACCCTGTAATGTATCAGAGAGGTAATCATTCATAGGTGATCAACACTGGAGTTGCTAATTCAAACCTTTGTGAGCAGGGTTGAGAGCAGTGGTCGGATTGAGCGTGCTACAAGTAGCCAAACTTGTAAACTAGTAAAGCTACAATCTTAAAGATTCCTGAATATCACCAGTGTCAGATTCAATAACAATATCATCATGCAGATCTGCAATGAATTCTATAGTTTGTCTACGGAAAGAACTCACCCTCCGCCACAAAGTCTGAGACCGTCTGTTTCTATGGAAACAGGAACAGAGCATTTCAGGGAGGGTAGCTTCTCTTCACTCTAGGGCTAACACAGTAGAGAGAAGAAAAAGTTTCCCTCTCCGATTCAAGCCAAAACCTGTACTGAACAATGACCCCACACCCCTACTTGAAATAATTATACCTCGTTACCATAGTCACCTCCACGGGTCCAGTCGAACGGCTAAGGGAGTTCTTACTTTAGACAAACTATACTTCATCTGCTGAGTCCCACAAGAAAACCTTTTTCACTCCCATACAAAGAATGTGAAATTCCACACATTTAAAAAGATTTTAGAATAATATTTGAAACTACATTTATGAGAGGGTGCATCATAGCACCTTTATTTAAGGGAAGTGAGACAGATAGAAACAATGTGAAATATTTTCAACTTGAGAAAATTTTGGTAAACCTCATAATTTTTTTTTTTTTTTAATGTTTCTTTAATTTTGGAAATTTTCATATTCGGTTTCTTCTCAGCAGTCGACATTTGCCATCTTGTGACCAGAAATAGGGAGTCGACTAATACGACAGGTCGTCTTAAACATCAGAATTATACGGTATTAATGTCAGTTAGAAGTTTAGTTCATCTCTAGCCAAAATCTCTAGTCAATAATACTCTAATCAATTTACGGAAATGGCGTAAGATGACATTATAAAGAAAAATAGCTTCATGAAAATGAAAAATGTTTGCGATTTACTCTGCATTATTTCGTGAAAATTTGCAAAAACTTGAGAATTCATTGATTTTAATAATTTCATTTAAACTATTTTAATAACCGTCTGTAATATAGTTAAAATTGATCAAATTAGATTTATTGTGTAATTAATCTTTAAATCTCTATCACGAATACTAGTACAAAATATTTTTTAACTCTGAAACTTTTTCTACGATATTTGGAGGGAGATAATCAACTTGAAGGTTTTAAATGCAGTGTTTTGTAAAACTGAAGGATTAGATGAGCATGAGATAAATTTTATAAAAATAAGTTCGCCCACACTGAATAAATATCTTAAATAAACAAAACTATTTACTGATGAAAATGTGTTCTCAAAGTCTTATACAGATGTTTGAAATAAAAAAATACACATTTACTAAAAGTTGGTGTTAACGACTGGAAAGAGTGGACTGTAAATGTAATAAAATATTTTATTACTGGACATTCACCATAGAATGTCCTTAATGAAGAACGATATATTTTTAATTGATATCACATTTTTAATATGAGGCACTCACCATGGAGCATACCGAGAACGAGTAATTATAAAACAAAACATTAAGAAACGGTCGCCAAATTGGCGAACTATCTTTTACATGGCGGCAACAACAAATTTAGTCTCGTGACATTTAACAGTTGGCTCCAAATAAAAATAATAAAGAAGTTTCTTTTTTTAGAAATAGAGTAAGTTTAAAAAACAGGTAACTGTGCAGTTTTAAATTACCCATTAAAATTACCAACAATGCAATTTCATTGCTTTACACTAAGAAAAAAAAAATAAAAAAAAAAATCAAATAAATGTTTTAGTTAAAGATTTTAAGTTATCATTAAGTAATCTTTATTTTATTCTTTTTTTTCGTTTAAAGGTATAGTTTTTTTAAATTTTTTATTAACTGTCGTTGAACAGCCGACCCAATTTTATGAGATTACGACTGCTAATGTTCAACTCCGTAGCCTTGTAACTTTGAACCCAATCCAGAAGATAAGGGAACTACTGGATCGAGTATTGGGAGAAATTTGCCTTCGTGGAGGACTTTTTGATGGAGCAAACCCGCATTTGCGTTACACGGTGAGGAAGACCACGAGAACGTCCCACCGTTAGTCTGACCGCAAGGTGACTCTAACACATGATCCGTCTACCACTGAGGATATTTCACGTCAGCACTGTGATCGGTGCAAGCCGGATGCGGAATTCGTATCGACTGGGATTCGAACCCGGTTCGCCTCATTGGAAGACTAACTCTCTATTCCCCGTGCCATCACGACTCAAGGCATAGTTGGTTGACCATGCAAAACTAAGCGCAGATGGTGCTAGGGGTTAAAATACGTCGCAAGACTTCCGGGTTTCTACTTCCGACTGATTTTTACGCCGAAGTTTAAAAAAACGCACCATCCAATATTATTATACTCGTAGTGTTTTCTATAAAACGCTTTCTGTCAACCTAACTTTTAACGAAACAAACGACAAAAGAATTCGAAAGACTCTGCAAAGCTTGCTATGATGGCTACCAAACGGCGCTATTTTACACAAATATAGCCAAATTAGGGATAAAACATGCTCAACCTTACATTTTTTTTATGCTGTCATATTAATTTCGTCAAATCTGTTTTAGACTTACGACCTGTTAGAATTTATAAATTACAGAAAACTCTTATGAAAGGTAAAATTCCGCTCAAATTTAAACGCAAATCACAATAATAAAACTTCCAAGAATATTAAGCCTGTTTACACATCGCCTCGTAAGCATAACATAAGGCGGAGGGATACACCGGAAGTTTTCTGAATTTCTTCCAGTTTAGAGGAAGCTTGTTAGTTACGAAATCAGACAGAAAAACGTACTTTACAGATCCTGTGATATCGAATTTTTAACAAGTCAGATATTTAAAATACGATTTCCCTGAGACAATTCGACCGATTTCACACTGATTTTTCCAAGCATCAGATGTATGTCTTATTAACGCTCGGCCACAGAGGCATTCTCAATGCATACGTTGACGAGCCCGCGAAGGATTTGCCCCAATCAGATTCGAAAAAACTTAGGCGTTTGAACTTTGTTTCTTTATTTAACTAACTTTAAACGTAGTTGCCAGGAATCTCTGCAAACTACTGTTTTTTTGTAAAGTACTATTCACTATACTTCCGACTACAGGTCGTAACCTATGACTACTTTGTTCGATACAGGAGTACTTGTGTATACTTACTGAGCAAAGACCAGTATTCAGTGCTCCAGCGCACATAATGGAATCGGGCACTTTTCTTGTATTGTAGAGCTTAGCGCACTTTTTATTCGGGTAAACACGCAGATTGGTATACTGCAGGTTGTCAGGAGTAACTGTGACGTCTGTGAAAAAAAAATTTTTTTTTCGTTTTTAATAAGTTAAGATGCATACACCAAAAGTAAGCCACAAAAACAATTCTTAACTAAAATGATATATTTAAATTGGCACTTACCAATTACATTAAAATATTAAATAACAATTTCGATTGTTTCCAGAAAATCATTTAGACACGCTTTTCACTTCTTATTAAGTATTTATTTTATTCAATTTTATCCTTATTATAATTATGTTTTAATTTGTGTACTACTATTCCACAGTGGACTGTCCTAGAGAAACACCGATCATTCTTTTCCGCTTTGTCTTACATTAAGTTGAAAGCCAAATCAAATTCGCTGCAGCTGAAGCGTCGTCTTCGACGTCAAACTAAAATTTTGCATACTGCGAAGTTTAAAAATAAGAGAAATTTGCATTTGCGACTCTGCCTTCTTACATTTTATGCAAAAAAAAAAAGAAAAAAAAAAAAAAAAAAAAAAATTCGCTCGTACCATTATTTTATACAAAACTTAGAATATCCTTTAATTTTTTTAAAACTGTGTCTAATTAAAGAAAAAAAAATTATTCTCCCTTCTCTCCAAATTAAGTTTTAAATCTAAATTAGTTTTTAAGCTGTTGTAGTTCATTTACGTCGCACTAGAGCTGCACAATAGGCTATTGGCGACTGTCTGGGAAACGTCCCTGAGGATGATCCGAAGACAAGTCATCACAATTTTGATCCTCTGCAGAGGGAATGGCACCCCTGCTTCGGTAGCCCAATGACCAGCACGCGAAATCGAGCACTTTACGGTAGAACAGTTTAACGAGGACCAATACCGCACACCCTAAGTCCCTACGCAGACTGATCCAAGTCGTCACCCACCCACACACTGACCACAGCCAGTGACTTCGGTGATCTGCTGGGAACCGTGCCTTAACGATCAGTCCACTGCGGGACATTAGTTTTTAAGAGAACATATCTGGTAATATTTGAACAAATATTTATTTAAATTAAATTTGGGGCATGTCTTCGGATCATCCTCCGGGATGTTTCCCAGACCGTCGCCAATAGCCCATTGTGCAGCTCTAGTGCGACGTAAATTAACAACAACAACAACAAATTAAATTTGGACCTGAATTTTTAAAAGCACTTTGTATATAATTTTTTTCACCGTTTTAATTTTTGTCGTATGAAGGAAAGGTTTTACAAAATATTTCTGAACGGCGTATCTAATTGAGATTGATCCGATATAGCTAAGAAATTATTGGTTGTTGTTATCAAAAAAAAAATAATTTTGTAATAAATATTTCCTGTGTATTTTTGTTGTTTGCGGAAATGGGAGGGGCCCTATCACACTTGGGGGAGGGACGGAAAATCCTGAATTAACAAAAGTTACATCATGAAACCTACAATTTTTAGACATCAATATTTTGGCCATAGTCTCCAAAGGAATGGGAAGCAAGCGATAAAGCTGAGTCTTAAATGCTTGGTCCCGCAGTGGACAGATCATAAAGACACAGTTCCCATTAGAACAACGAAGTCAAGCATCACTGGCTGCTGTCAGTAAGCGGTTGGTGACCACTTTGATCAGCCTGCATCGGGATAGAGAGTGCATGGTATCAGTCCTCGTTAAACTGTTCTACCGTAAAATGCCTGACTTCGTGAGCAGGTTATCGGGCTACCAAAGCCGGGAAGCCATTCCCTTTGTTGAGGATCAAAATTGCGATGGCTTGTCTCCTTCCTTCTCGCTCCCAAGAAAAGGACGGGGTGAGGTTTCGTCCTCTATTTCTCGCTCCCGTGAAATTTCCGGGCTGGAGTGTTCAGTAGTAACGCGCCAATAAGAATAAAACTAATTCATTTCTTTTGCCCGGAAAACACTTTATTTCTCATTTTACACACCAGATGGTAGTACCAGGATATTTTTAAGGTAATTGTAGATAATTAATTTATTTTAAACTAGGTGTCAAAAAAATAGGCACTTTTATGACAGTTTTCTTGAAAATTAACAGATCGTTAAGGGGTTTTAAGGATGCTTCCCAGACCGTCGCCAACAGCCCATTGTATAGCTCTTGTGTGACGTAAATATAGTTACTGCCTACCTTAAATATGTGTTACAGTTGGATTTTCAAGTTTTAATTGAAAGTGTAATTGCTGTTATGAAAGGATAATAAAATTAGCATCTTACCTGTGTCTCTTGTGGTGATTCCCCAACCGGCTGAAGTAACCGGTTTTAGGCATAAGTTCTTTTTCGTTGTTGAAAGACAGACAGCTCGCACCCCATCACTGTACCTTATGGGCTCTGCTGCGGTCAGGACAGCCACGTCATTCATGAGATTATCGTATTGAGGATGTGGCGTTACATTCGTGAACTTAATTCTCGTTCCCGATTCCTTATTCACGTTGCCAATAACACCACTGAAATCCTCAGGATTCTGCACAATTCCGTTGCTGAAAGGAGTTTTACATTTTAAATTTCGCACCGGAGGATAGACATCATATACTATCTGTCTAACTAAAGAACTCCCTTCTCCAATTTCATTTCGTTGAACAGTCGACCCACCTCATTGGGTTTACGACTACTAATGTTAAACTCCGTCGCATTGTAATTTTAAAGCCAATCCAGAAGACAAGGGAACTACTGGATCAAGTATTGGGGAAAATTTGCCTTTGTGGAAGACTTTTTGATGGAACTAGCCCGTAAGTAATTGCGTTACATGGAGAGGATAACCACGGAAACCTCCCTCTGTTAGTCTGACGGAAAGGGGACTCTCACCCATGATCCATCTACTAATGAGGATATTTTTACGCCAGCTCTGTGGTTATTGCGAGCCGGGTGCGGAATTCGTATAGACCAGCTATAGCAATGATTCCAACCCGCATTTGGGTTACATGGAGAGGAAAACCACGAAAAACTCTTAAGGTTAGACTGACGGCAAGGGGACTCTAACCCATGATCCGCCGACCACTGAGGATATTTTACGTCAGCACTGATATCTATACAATCTGGATGGGGAATTCGTATCGACCAGCCATCGCAGGGGTTCGAACCCGGATCACCTCATTGGAAGGTAAACGCTTTATCCCCTATACCATCGCGGCTCTCCTTTTCCAATTGTCTGGTGCTCTGTTTGTGATTAGGTTAAACTATTTCTTGTAGGGGTAAGCAATTAAGACAGGTTTTGGTTCGGATCGCCAAGAGAAATATCAGAAATTCCCATCTTTGAAATGCTCTTTTGCGTGTTCCCATAGCAGCTGTGATGTCTGGCTAGGTAATTACTAACAAAAATTAAACTAAATAGATAATTGGAAGAAAAAAAATCAATGTTTCATAAAGGTAGAGAATTTGAAAAATATAATGAAGTAATTGGTTGGATAAGAAATACTCGTAGAACGAAAATTAAAAATTTAATTTTAAAATCAAGACAGCTATTAATCAGAAATTTGAAGAAGTTCTAAAATTTTGGCTACGTATTCAACAACTCTATCTATTGGGCAACTCTTTGTAGTGACTTACAATATCAAAACACCATCATTTCATGTAATCTTTGTTGATGTTTTTAAGAGTTTGGATGTACTTTTTACAAGACTAGTACTTTCGTTTAAGTTTTCATTGTTCAGTTATTAAAATATATTATGATAAACTGATGAATATATTATTCCAAATGAGTATATTATTCCAAATCCTCATGCACATTACCGAAATTGGATCAATTGGATTTCAAAGGTCAAAAATCTAAAGAGGCAATATATATAGTTGTACATGTTTATATTCAGAGAAAGTACGTTGTTGTGTCTAATTTCGTAACTTAATTAACAGTTAGCACTAATTAATTTGCATATTTGAGGTCACCCCCAGGAACCATTCAGTTCGGGAAAATCCGATCATTAGTACAAAAGTTATTCCGTGTTTGTGTTTATTGAATTTCAGAGGGTTCCTAAATTAAAATTTAATTTTGGCAAATAAAATCTAATTTCATTTTCTAATTTTGGCTAATCAAAGTAAGGATCATTTAATTAATGAAGTTAAAGAAACATAAATGAAAAGAAACTAGACAAATCAACTTTTTCATTCTTTTCACGCGACGATTTCAATTTCGCTTTTGCTGATCTCGCTCATTTTTTATCAAATTAAAAACCCTCCATCTGCATAATTTTATTTAAATGCTGCGGGTGTGGTAATGAGAGGGATTTCAATAATAAATCACTTACAATACAACACAGTGTCCTGCTGTTAGAACATCTCTTTCTGATATGATAGATGCCGTGCACACATATCGATCACGATAGAAGAGGGCTACCTGTAAAAAAAAAACATAAATGTATAATCTCCCCCACAAAAATATCTGTTTTTGTCGTTTTTTTATGTCACTTTTGGATACTAACAAGCCTATTTTAAGGCAGAGGCTCCTTGACTTCCAGTGGCGCTATATATAGCCATCTGCCACACACATACGTCACAGCCCGTTTTACAGGAAGGACAGATTCACCGCATCCCTCCGCAGATTGTAATCTCGACCTGAACCAGAGCTCGATCAATCTCCGATTCAGCACCCCCCCACGGGTATTTCATTTTTTATTTTATAACCGTCGTTGAGCAGCCGATCCCATTTTGGGTTCACGACCACTAATGTTTAACTCCGTAGCCTTGCAACTTTAAACCCAATCCAGAAGACAAGGAAACTCCTGGATCAATACCCCCAAAGATATGATTTGTTATGCGAACATGGAGGACTTTGCGACCCGACAGATTTAAATTGCATCAGTCACCATTTACTACTCGGCCTGCGGAGATCAAACCCACGACCTCTTGGACAACAGTCCACAGCCCTACCAACCAGGCTATCCCGGCTTCCCCCACGGGTATTGATTTGTTATGGAAAATTGGAGGACTCTGTGATAACTGCAGATTTAGCGTACACCAGCCACCATTTTGTAAAAGGGGAGTTTTCGGTCGGTGGGGATCGAACTCACGACCTATTGGACATGGGTCATCTGTTTCTGCTTAAAATCAATATTATCTAGTTGTTATTTTTTAAAAATAATTTACTTCTTTATAGCAAGGGAATGTTATATCTAGAATAAAAATCACTTTAAATAACTTTCGTTCCATTGATCAGATATTTACAAACTGGGGTTCACTCTTGTTAGTTCAAAAGGAAGAAACTAAAATATGTTAATTAATTAGTGTTAACTATTAATTAAATGATAGAATCAGACACGAAAACGTACTTCCTCCGAATAAATGCCTTTTATTCTATGGCATGTTTTTTTTGTCGTTCAAATTATGCGGGGTACCCGTTATTGGAAAAGTATAATTTCGAGAGTTTCGGCAGGAAAACTGTCGAAAGTTTGGGCTTCTTATTCTTAATTATCCTTTATGCATAAGCCATATCTCAGGAAGTTTTAAAGCGAATCAAAAAATTTTCGCACACAATTATAAAATTCGCTTAACTTAAGATTCAGTTTAATGTGAGAAATAATTTTAATATATTTTTATTATTATTTTATTTGATAAGTGTAGGAAAAATATTGAATTGTAAGCCCTACAAATTTTTACACCACTTTCAATCTAAATAATTTTAATTGACGAAATAAAAAAAATGAGTCTGATATGCCGAATAGTTTTTGTGTTACTAACTCTCAAAAAAAGTTTTATTTGTAAAATTTTATTTCTCCGAAACTATTCTTTCAAAGGAAAAGCATGTTTATTCAGAAAAAAGCTTTTATGTTTGATTTCGTAACTTAAAATAGCTTCTGCAGAAATTTTGCCATATTTAAGGTATAATTAATTCCAATATATAAATCTGAATTTTAGTACTACGTAAAAATCCAATCATTAGATCAAAAGGTGTTTTTATTTAGCACATTGTACATTAATCTGCTTCTTACGGGTTTGGGAAACCAGTTTCCTACAGGTTTTCACTGAAATAAACTACAATAAGAGTTAAAAAGAATCGATATCACATAAGGCTCGCGTTCTTATAGCACAAAATAAACAAAAACTATTTAGTGGTAACTTACCGAAAATGGAAATTCATTTTTTCCTGCTGTTCTTCCATTGACTATTCTCTCTGTTTCTTCGAAATTTTCTACTAAAAGAATTAACAGAAAATGTAACCGCTGTTCATTTTGAATTGATTATTAGAATAGTCTTAGATAAACCTTTTTATCTATGATGGAGCAAAAATTATAAGACAGTTTTTTGTTTTACATTTTACAGTTTTGAGCATAGAATGACTATAAGATTGAAAAAGTAATTCTAAAGCTGATTCGCCTAGACTCCAAAAAATTTTGCAAAAATTTAGAATTATAGTTTTTAGTAAAATCCTGTCAATTTGACGATTTTTAAAAATGTTTAATATTTTTTTAAATATCTAAGTCACTTATTCGTTCTAAAGCCTAGTTTATTCTTTATTGTAAAATTGTATGTATATTTTAAAATTCTAACTTTGCTTCAAGTTTAAGGCACTTAAATTGCGACCTTTTTTTTTCATTTTTCTTGGCAAAAAAGTTCTAAAACATCACTTTTAAACCAACTGCTTAGTCAGTCTTAGTAGGACTTTTTCAGAAAAAAAAAGATCTTGTGCCGATGGATAATGTTTCGTAATGTTTCAGTCATTTTGCCAGCGAGAGAAATATGCTAATTTAGCAAACAAGTGGAGAAGAGGGTTTAAAATTATGCTTTCGTATTATTAGAATTATTAGAACCAAAAATTACTGGAGCGCTTACCATCATTCTCCTCTTCCAATTGAATCACTTGAAACTGAAAATAAAAACGAGATTATTTTCGCAATAAATACATTTAACAAGCAAACATCATAAGAAATGAAACTAACAAATAATGCTGGTACTCCGGCATTTAAATAATTCGTCTTTTGAAGAATTTCTCCCCCTAAATCATAGAGTGAAACAAGCAATATGTCTTATATTTTTCAGACACAAGTGAGGAAAAACATTTTTGAAATCTAACGTATCACTAGTTTGTGTTTATCTAAATAAATTTGACGTTTGGAGGTGTTTGTCTTTCACTTCCCCTAGGCAATCAAACAAGTTTTGGTGAATTTTTTTTAATCCCACCTTCTTTAATAGTGTTTCCTCATATTTCGATAACCTATTATTTCTATAGACGCTATTGTGTATGCCTTCCTCTTTGACAAAAAATATACATTAAGGGTGGAAATTACAGAACACTTTAGATAGGATAACAGTTTAATGGCACAAATCAAATGAACTAAATCTATGAATATGAAGTAAACATTCAAAACGGAATCCACACTTCTCTGCTACGACAAAGCATTATGCCAATTAGAAAGTGATCTAGTACAAAATTACTGTAATAAACATATTTTTAAGAGTATAGCGAGAGATGGCTTTTCGTGAATAATACAGTAAAGAAAGTTCAGGTAAACCTGGAGTCAATCAAATGCTGAAAGATGTTTTCAAAATAGCAGACAAACTGTGGCAGGATAACTTCAATGCGTAATCCTACCATAATTTGTTTGAAAAACAGCAGTTGGAACTTCATAAACCTGAACTCCATTTTCTCGAAACTTTAAAATACCTGTTAAAAGTACTAGATTTTATTAATTTGCTATTTGAGTATATGTAAGTCGTAAGCTAGATATTAATTTATTTGTTATTTGAGTATGTGTAATTCTCAATTCAGACATTTATCGGGGTTGGCGAGGGTCGGCGAACATTAGGCTTAGCTCCCTAGTACAATATAAACCAGAGAGTTGATAAATTTTTATTTTGGTTAACGAAAATATTTGCCAACGTAAAAGTAAACTAAATCAGTGAAATTTTATAATATTGCTTTACATTGCTAAAAATCGATATTATTGAATCTGCATCCTGATATTAAAATTTGTACTCGTTTACCAGTACCAGTTTAGGAGTCAGAAAATTAATTTGTCTCCATTTTACATGCGTGAATAAAGAACTTACCCGGGCATTTTGAACTTTGGAGAGCAAAATCAAAACTAATATCTGTACAATGTAGTACATCATGGAAAGTAATGCAATTGGAGAAAAAAAAGAAGCCTATTTATATAAAAATCACGTGGAAGAAGTACTTCCTTCTACTATTCAATACTCTTTTAATGAATACGACAGAAGGCGGCATTGTTTCTTTTCCATATTAAATTAGAATTTAAATTTGTTTTTGCAACATATTGGATGTTCTTAGCGTAGACGTAATCTACTCGTACTTTTACGACAATCGTTTGGAATTCAAGAAATATTTGTTCAGAAGCAATTTTTTTCAAAACATTTTTTTTTTAAAAACTTTTCCATCGATATCTGCATACTCGTTATTTAAAGTGTACAAAAAATAAAGTAAACACTCATGTTAAAGGTAAATATAGTTTGGAAAGCAATATTTTTCAAGCGTTCTAAAAAGAAAAGAATAATTATACTTTTGATAAATCAAAAACTAAAAATTCAGAGCACAATAACTCTTTCAGTACCGGGAGAAGGGGGAGAAATTTTCAGTGATGATAGAAGTTTTTCAGTTTTTTATTTATTTTTTTTAATTTAAAATGTGACTAAAAACAGAATTATTTTCTGTTTTTTAGTCCTTTAAAAAATATCGTGTTTAATATGTTAACTTAATCATTTGAAATTTTGAGTTATTGTGAATAAAATAGAAATAAAGATAGACAGCAATTCCTAGGAAACAAATTCTACCCCGAATTATTATCAAACACGTATAGCTCCAGTTGACATTTAAGCAATCTAGCTTGTCGAAAAGTGGTCGAAATTTCTATGACGACAGATTCTATTAAGAACATAATTCTGTTAGTAACGATCAGAGAGCGGTTGAAACTTACATGTACATCAGACACATAGTTCCAGTAAAGATTTGAGTATAGTTTTTTTAAAGTAAGAACACCCCTAGCCATTCGAATGAACCCGTGGCGGTGACTTTGGTAACGAGGTATAACTATTTCAAGTAGGGGTGTGGGGTCATTGCTGAGGACAGGTCTTGGCTCTGGTCGGCGAGAAAAAGGGAATCTTTTTCTTCGGTCTACTCTACTGTGTTAGCCCTAGAGTGAAAAGAAGCTACCCTCCCTGAAATGCGCTATTCTTGTTTCCATAGCAACAGACGACCTCAGACTTCATGGGGGAGTTCTTACCATAGACAAATACTCGAACTGTTAAGAAAAAGAAGGCAAGATTCTATCCTCTCATATTCAAGAGGGTGTGTTTGCGGGTGTGTGAGAGAGAAAGAGAGTCAGAAAAATACTAATTTCATTTTCAATGTGATTGTTTCCCGCTTTAATTATTTATGTGAGTCTTATTTACATAGAGTCAGCAGAAGGAGCCGGGATAGCCCGGTTGGCAGGGTGCTGCACTCACGTTCGTAAGAATGGGAGTTCGAATCCAGCCGGCCGAAGACGTCATGTGTATTAAATGATGCACGTTAAATCTGTCAGGATACAAAGTCCTCCATGTTCTCATAACAGATCAATATCTCTGGGGGTACTGGATTAGAGTGTGATCGTTCTTTGGTTCAGGTCAAAATAACTATCTGGGGATGAATGAATGGGTTCGCCCTATAAACGGTTGTGACGTATGGGTGTGGCAGAAGTCGAATTCTTGTCCGTAGATGGCGCCAATGGAAAACAAGAACAATCACACCCCTGCCTTGTCTGACATGTTTATCGTTTAAAGCTTTAAAATTGTTTTGAAAGCATATTTGTTTGATAACGAACTAAACTAAACTAAATGAAACTAAAAAACGAAACTAAAGACAGGCGCAGATTCCTATTCAAATCCCATAATGCCTCAATGCCTTTTCTAAATTTGCACACAGAACATAGCATGTTCGAGCTAATTTTGTTTCATTTTTGTTCTACAGTACAAGAGGTATTCGAAACAAATCAGGTTTGAGTTAAATTACATCGCTTTAACCTAAACGACATCAGTTAACGTTATCATTATTGAATTTATTCCGATCAATATTCGAACATGATTTATTACAATATAATAAACGAGAAATACTTAGGGATGCTGATATAATAATTTTCCTAGATATTGTAGTTTTTGTTGACGTATGCCTGTTTAGGCAGAGGGGGTGTGATTGTTCTTCTTTTAAAGTGGCGCCATCTTTTGCCAAGAATTAGACTTCTGTCACACTCGTTTATAGGGCGTAACCATTCATACATCCATTCATTCATCCACAGATCATAATTTCGACCTGAATCAGAGAACGATCGATCTCCATCCAGTACCCCCAGAGATATTGATTTGTTACGGGAACATGGAGGACGTTTGCGACTCGACAGATTTAACGTGCATCAGTCACTTTACTACACGGGGAGTCTTCGGCCAGCGGGGTTCGAACCCACGAACTCTCGGACATGGGCCCAGCGCCCTTACGACCAGGCTATCCCGGCCTTAGATATTGTAGTAAAAAAATATTAACGAGAATGAAACTTTGTTTTGAAAGGGTCCTCGAATTCCGATACAAACTGCAAGATTCATCACGATATAAAATGCCAGCCCATCTAAAATCTCTCTCTGTTACAAAATAGAAAGCGGATGTTAAACTTTTTTAGTGTTTAGTTGCGTATTAGCCCTTAAAAATACGAAGATGTCAGATAAAATCCGTTCCCTATTTGAACTGTTATAAATCTTACCTAATATATAAAAATGTATAATAATATTACTGTTATAATATATAGATATTACAAGAACATTACTTTTATAAATCTTACTGTACTAAAAATGCTTCTAATTCGTTTCTTCTTTTTTCAGTCACACAATTTGTATTCCCTTGTAGAGTAAATGATTATTTTTCACATACGATTGTTCATTTCTTATGATTAGCATATTTTCAAAATGGTCTTGCATAAAATTACTATAATTTCATGTTTTATTTAAGGGAATACATAATTTTTGTTCTTGGGGGAAATAATAACTTTTAAGAAAAAAAAACTATAGTGAAGCAGAAGCAATTACAGAGATTGGTGAGCAGAACATATATATATATATATATATACACAAGTCGCTAAATTCCGATAGTAAGTTCGTAATATGGAAAATTCGTTAAATAGAAAATCACCTTTTAAAATACTTGAACAACGCAAAACAGGTTTTAAATTCATAAACACTAAGCATAATTAAAATAGCAGTTGGTGCACCGTTATCTTGTAAACTAATATCGACTATTTATTTTATAAATCTTAACCATGAAAGAAATTTGCATGGAAAGTTAGAATAGAACAATACATTATCCAGTGTTACACTATTTTGCTACATGCATTTTCAACTAAGAAAAGCTAAATTTATGTATAAAGTTATGCTGCATTTATTTCAAAATTAATTTTAAACATGCACTACCACATGCTTTCTTAAGTTTAATTGCCACTGATAAAATCCAAAAATTTAGACTGAGTTTTTTGTTTGAAATGCAAACAAAAAGGGAAAGGGATTTTACTGTTTTTTTCTGAAATAACTTTTAGAGAAAGCAGTAAAACATATTGTAAAGCAGTGACTTCGAAAATTAATTCAAGGTCATTTCCCCCATAAAATGCGTTAGCAAGTTTGAAATGTTCTGAAATATTTTGGAAAACAGGGAAAGTGGATCTCAACGAAAAGTTCATTAAATAGAAAGTTCGCTATTTGGAAGTTATTTTACGAAGAAATTTCCAAAATGTTCTCGGTTTCTCGAAAATATTAGCAAAATAGAAAAATTTTAAAATGGAAGTTCGTTAAATAGAAGTTCGACTGTATATATACATACATCAATGTACATACATAAATGAACATATATACATACACATACATACATTCATATATACGCAATAAGAATTGACCCTGAAACGAAACGAACATTTAAACGAACGAAATGAATAGGAAGTATTTTTGTTTTTAAAAAAAATAAGGAGTAAAAAAAAGACCGTCTCTCTCTTTCAAGAAGACGCTGTGTGTCATGTACTAAATAACCGAGAGGCGAGACAATTAGTGGTAGATTCTTCGTAGAAGAGAGGAGATTTAATTATAACTTCTACGCATAGCGAATCCTCTTCAACTCTCTTTACTTAAAATCAAAATACACCATTTGCTTGTTAGAACTGGGCCATGAACAATGCGCAAAGTAAAAAAAACATTTTGAATAATTTTTGTTATCTGATTTTCACAGACTTAAACTCCTCGGATCACCTATCGGATTTTCATAAACTTGGTAACAAGAAGAAAAAAAAATTGAACGAAATTAATTGAACAGTTCTCGGGAAATCAAATAAATATATTACTTTAATATATATTACTTTTTTAAACACCTAACCGAATACCAAGGTCATTTATTGTAGCATTTTAAATTTTATTTCAACTTGTAAAATATACATTTTAAATTTTTTAAAAGCAACTCGTCTGGGAAGTAAAGGCGGTCGGTACGCAGCACCGACCACATTGCCCCCATCATGCCGTTGGTCACGAAATTACAAAACCTTAACTTCCCTGACCCCGTAGTCCAAATGGCCTGTTACGGGAATGTTTTTTAACTTTCAATAATTTTTGTAAAATGAGTTTTGAAATTTTCGTACTCGTAATTTTTGTACAGATAATTTCGTAAATTTTGGTACAGATTACCAAAATGAAAATATTTTTAGCGAAATATATCAGTGCTGAAGAGGTTATACCATAAATACTTTATAGCTATTTAGAACTATTAGAAGAATGTTTTGTTTGGAATGTATAATTCAGACATATAGTTAGCTGTAAGAAAATCATATTTGGGTACTTGCAATTCAAGAAGAAGAAGAAGATCACAAATACCCACACATGTGACCAATGACGTCAGTGCCAACTGATCGTTTTATTTTATATTTTATAACCGTTGTTGAACAGCTGACCCAATTTTATGGGTTTACGACTACTAACGTTCAACTCCGTAGTCTTGTAATTTTGAACCCAATCCAGAAGACAAGGGAACTCCTGGATCAAGTATTGGGAGAAATTTGCCTTGGTGGAGGACTTTTTGATAGAGCTTATCCGCATTTGCGTTACATGGAGAGGAAGACCACGAGAACCCCACGGTTAGCCTGACGGCAAGGGGACACTAACCCATGATCCGTCTACCACTGAGGATA